ATGGACGATAACAATAAAATGCAAAATCTGTATTTGCTATAGTCACCATCATCAGTTAAGCCATATGCTTTCAGTACATAGATGCATGTTTGAACGATTCGTTCTGACCGCTTAATGAACAGGGCTTTATAGCTGCAAAAACTGGGTCACTCAGATGCTTTTCAAGCGTTTGTGCGAGTAAGAAGCTATAAAACCGCGCACTTTACGCCAGCCATAAGATGTTTTGACTTCCCCAAGTCGATAGACGATATTGGTATGTCCGGAATCTAGTGATGCACGATCTTTGTAAGTTCTGGTTTTGTCTATGTGTCTCATTGTTTTACATGTACATGGAAAATATTATTGATACCTTATGTAATTACTGAACATTGTAAAAAGAGTGGTTATCTAATGTTTTGCACCCTAGAAATAAAGACAAGAGGTATTTGAGACAGATGACTTATTACAATTTGGTTGTTTTCAGATGGAAGAGGTTTTTATATATATTGTGTAGTTGGTATTATTCACAGAGGATTTAATTTCGTTCTATTTGCGGCTGTTAAAGGTAACACGAAATACCCCGCAAACTTTTTTATATTTATCATTTGCCAGAATACTGTGGTACTCATTTATACACAAGCGCAAAAATTTACCACCGCAAACATGTATACCCCAAATAGAGATACCCGAAATAAAAATAGATGATAAAGCATGAAGCTTACACTGATTATAAGTTAAGGTTACCCTAGTTGGAGTTTAAGTAACACTGATAAAGGATGAAGGTAACACTGATAAAGGATGAAAGTAACATCAGTGAAGGATGAAGGTAACACTGATAAAGGATGAAAGTAACATCAGTGAAGGATGAAGGTAACACTGATAAAGGATGAAGGTAACACCAGTGAACGATGAAAGTAACACCGGCAGGGGCGTAGCTAGTCCAGCAGAAATGTGTAAGTCCAGGCGAGGGGTCTGAATTTCAAAGATGTTTTGAATCGTTTTCTGAGACAGTTTTTAATTGACTTAACAACACACTTCAACCCCTGATGTTTATTTTTAACCTTAGTTTTGTAACTTTGTCCGACATTCTCTATGCACGGATTTTTTTATGTGTAAGCCCGGGCTTTTTCTTTCTATGGAAGCTACGCCCCTGACCGGTAAAAGATTCAGGTAACACCTGTAAAGGATGAAGGTAACACCTGTAAAGGATTTAAAGGATGTAAAGTAAGGTAACACCGATAAAGGATTTAAAGGATTAACACCGATAAAGGATGAAGGTAACACCGATAAAGAAGGTAACACCGATAAAGGATGAAGGTAACACCGATAAAGGATGAAGGTAACACCGATAAAGGATGAAGGTAACACCGATAAAGGATGAAGGTAACACCGATAAAGGATGAAGGTAACACCGATAAAGGATGAAGGTAACACCGATAAAGCACAAAAGTGACACTTGTACTTAGAAGAAGATTACACCACAAAAGATGGCACCACAGCTGCCTCCTTTCTTGGTGTAACTTTACACCAGTATCGTGAGTTTACAGTCGTGGTGTAATCTCATGAGATGGTGTAAAACCTTCATCCCAGAAGTTTACAGTGTGATGACAGATGGAATAAAATTAAGAACCTGCTTTATTGGGTTTAGCACTACATATATTTGTGACAGCCTACAAACTACTATGTTGTATAGGTCCCAGATTAGGTCCAAATCACTTTGGCGTCGCAATATTAGTTGTATCACAGGTTTGGTCAACCCTTTCATTAATGTTTGAACTTTGTCCCTGTCGATTTTATATGTCTCGTCGTCGGTTAAAGCACTACAGAAAAAAAACAGTTGTACTAAGTTATCCGAGTCATCATTACGCTTGTTTATAATGCCAAATACATAAATTGAAATGTGTTATTACTTGTGGCTTTAGACGGAGTCAGCTGATCAATTGAATAAACTTCGCGTGGGAGGTATTTCATAACGAAATCAAATTCCAGTTATGTGTTTTGTTATTGACTAAATGTTGTTTGGGATATGTATGTTTAACATGCAGGACAGCTATTGTCCTGGTGAATGATTAGGCGGTTGTACCTGAAACCTTTGTCTGAAATACCTGAAATACCACGCGGCGCTGTCGTGTGTAGATACAAAATTGGGAATTCCAGTCTAAAATTAGTCTGTACATGACAACACTGCGTGACGTCATGTAAAAAAAATGGGGAACTCCTAACCTCATCGTTCAGCACGAGTGGTGTGGATGACTCGGGAATCCCAAAACAAACCACATGCATCCGTTGTTATTTAATGTTATGCTGGAAACAAAAATCACTGAGTGACGTATCTGAAAAACCGGGGATTGTACAGCGTGTCGATATAGAAAACTAGGTACGAACACGCATGTACTGAATAACCCTTACGTAAAATAAATAATAAAACATAATTGAAATCAACAGTAATCGTGACATCAAACACAATTCGGGATATCAAACAATTCGGGATATCACACACCAGTCTATGTAGTAAACACTAGTCTGGGTATCAATCACACATTGGGAGATTAACACACTATTCGGGCCCTATATCAAACACAAATCGGGATATCACACCCCAGTCTATGTAGTAAACACTAGTCTGGGTATCAATCACACATTGGGAGATTAACACACTATTCGGGCCCTATATCAAATACAATTCGGGATATCACACACCAGTCTATGTAGTAAACACTAGTCTTGGTATCAATCACACATTGGGAGATTAACACACTATTCGGGCCCTATATCAAACACAAATCGGGATATCACACACCAGTCTAGGTAGTAAACACTAGTCTGGGTAGTAGACATTTTAGAGGGACAAAACTGATAAAATGTTTATATATATATATATATATATATTAACTTATTTAAACTTTCTTCCTTCAAGTATCCTGCTGGTAGGGCGTAGGAATAGTACCTGCTGCCCCCATTGTATATTCTCTGTTTTCCTTAATGTCACCTTTGACATCGCCTCACTTTTTGGACTTTAGTGGCGTTTTCACTCCTGTAGACTTCATGGATTATACAATATAAATCAAACCATCTTTCAAAACTTTTTTAGCATAAACATGTATCACACCGACGTCAAAAAAGGATTTGTTTTGTCCAGGCATTTATGTAATGCAAAAATGATACAGGACTTAATTCTTTTCTGGACGGTAAAAATAAACAGCCAATGTATGTATAATTCTTTTAATTCAAAGAAAAATCAATACATGGAATACAGTGGAAATGTTCATCTGTAAATCTACTAAACTGGTCATTCTACATGTTAATATGAAATATTAATGTTTATATAAATTCACAAATATTTGCATGTACATTGCAATGTCATTTTATACTCAAACAGAATAAAGTTGAATTCAAAGTACTGTAAATGACATAAAGCGCTTGACTTTATGATATCATTAGTTTGGTATAGAAAACTCGTCAGTAAACTGTCGAAATTCTGTTGCACAAGACGGATTACATTTTCAGTAATTAATTACCGTATCTTTGATAATTTTCACGGGTCAGAATTTTCGCGATTTTCTTTTAAAACGATTGAATTATTTTCAACAAATTACAATTTTGCAATTAAAACGTAAAATGACATCTAATACACATGTTTCTCATTACTTCATGGAATGACATATGTGTGACAAACAACGCTTGATAGCTGAACAATCATCACTTTATCATTAATATTCAAAGCTGGTTGTGGGACATAAAAAAAACTAAGACACGAAATGGAAGAATGCATGAGAGATAAGTGTAGGATTATTACGCGAGCTGTATGACAGACAACGAAAACCTCATACGATAGAAAGTCATGACTGACGTCATAACCTTAGGAAGCAGGTAATTAAATAACTGATCCATGTATATACTAAATGTGACACTGGGGATTAGACTTAGGGAGTAGGTAAGTAAATATCTTATCTATGTGTGACACATAGGGAGTAGGTAAGTAAATATTTTATCTCTGTGTGACACCAGTGATTAGACTTAGGGAGTAGGTAAGTAAATAATTTATCTATGTGTGACACCAGTGATTAGACTTAGGGAGTAGGTAAGTAAATAATTTATCTATGTGTGACACCAGTGATTAGACTTGGGGAGTAGGTAAGTAAATAATTTATCTATGTGTGACACCAGTGACCTTAGGGAGTAGGTAAGTACACCAGTAAAGTAAATAATTTATCTATGTGTGACACCAGCGAGTAGACTTAGGGAGTAGGTAAGTAAATAATTTATCTATGTGTGACAGACTTAGGGAGTAGGTAAGTAAATAATTTATCTATGTGTGACACCAGTGATTAGACTTAGGGAGTAGGTAAGTAAATATTTTATCTATGTGTGACACCAGTGATTAGACTTAGGGAGTAGGTAAGTAAATAATTTATCTATGTGTGACACCAGTGATTAGACTTAGGGAGTAGGTAAGTAAATAATTTATCTATGTGTGACACCAGCGAGTAGACTTAGGGAGTAGGTAAGTAAATAATTTATCTATGTGTGACACCAGCGAGTAGACTTAGGGAGTAGGTAAGTAAATAATTTATCTATGTGTGACACATAGGGAGTAGGTAAGTTTATCTCTGTGTGACACCAGTGATTAGACTTAGGGAGTAGGTAAGTAAATAATTTATCTATGTGTGACACCAGTGATTAGACTTTGGGAGTAGGTAAGTAAATATTTTATCTATGTGTGACACCAGTGATTAGACTTAGGGAGTAGGTAAGGTAAGTAAATAATTTATCTATGTGTGACACCAGTGATTAGACTTAGGGAGTAGGTAAGTAAATAATTTATCTATGTGTGACACCAGCGAGTAGACTTAGGGAGTAGGTAAGTAAATAATTTATCTATGTGTGACACCAGCGAGTAGACTTAGGGAGTAGGTAAGTAAATAATTTATCTATGTGTGACACCAGTGATTAGACTTGGGGAGAAGTTAAAACTAAATCACTGTTCTATGTACCATGTTTCTAGCTGAGGGGATCGTTATTCACAACTGGTAAGTAAAAGGTATATCTAATGCCCCAAGAGTTTTGCTGTAAAAAGAATCAAACTCCTTGTCCTGGGCAACCGTAAAATAATTCATCCAATCTCCGACCTCTCCTGAAAAAAAATGAAAAAAAGATATATATATATATATATTAGGCTTCAATCGATATAATTTTATTTTTCATTCAAATACACAACGAATGTATGCAGAAGTCAGTACTTAATAACGATTTTTCCTGTTAAAAAACCTTCGTCGTGTACCCGTGTTCTAATTAGTCTCCATTTCCTTATTTCGTAATTTGTTTTCTCGACTTCTCTAAAACTTCCGTTCGTGAATCCTGTAATGTGATAACAAGAGCTCGCTCCCTTTAAACATATCATTTCTAGGAAGAAAATCGGTATTTTTTTCAGGCACGACCTTGTAATATATGTAACAGGCCGGTTGTCGACCGATTTATTATCGTACAGTTACAAGGCACATGTTCGGCAAGTTTCACGGCATTCAGATTTTGCCTTGACCGCACGTGCGAAACAGATTATTAAAGAGGAACATATCACTTTACATTATACACCCCTCTTAAGAAGTTTGATAAAGTAAGGAAGTAGGTTGTTTTGTAATTGTTGAAAAATCAAGTGTTTGTGTATTCTGGAATTCATTTAGCTAGGACACCCTCAAATATCACCGGGTCCATATCACCAGAGGCCAATAACGTTCCGTCAAACATGAACATCGGTGTAAGAATGAGAGCGATGTTGATCACTAAAGGGAATATTATTTTGTGATAAGGACAACCTCCAATATCAGCTGAATATTGCAATATCTTGCCGTCATTCATAGGAATCGGACCCTCTTCAGGATATCGTTAGTCACCCGATAACAATTACATATACTTTAGAAAGTACAAAACGTATGTCCTTGTTATGTCATATATCGGCTACTTACAGAGCTAAATATTCTGAATTGGGAAAAGGAAATTAATAAAGGGGAGACGGGGGATGTGTTTAACTCTGACGGAAGACAACTGTATAATTGACAGTTTAATACATACTTCTCTTTCCTGGAGAGAGAATATATTCCACTATTTATAATTAACAGACTAAAAACTCACCTTACCTGGACAGAGAAGATATTCCACTATTTATAATTAACAGACTAAAAACTCACCTTTCCTGGACAGAGAAGATATTCCACAATTTATAATTAACAGACTAAAAACTCACCTTACCTGGACAGAGAAGATATTCCACTATTTATAATTAACAGATTTAATACTCGTCTTTTCCGAGTAGTGATGATATTTCACTGTTTATATCTAACAGACCAAATACTTACCTTTCGTGAGTAGTGAAGATATTCCACCGTTTTTAATTGACAGACTTAATTCTCGCCTTTCCTGAGTACAGCTGGGCGTTCCACTGTTTATAATTAATAGACTCAATTCTCACCTTTCCTGAGTAGAGCTGAACGTTCCATTGTTTATAATTAATAGACTCAATTCTCACCTTTCCTGAGCAGAGGGGATATTTTGCTGTCAATAGAGTACACATCCAGGTGATTTGTCATGGGGTTTTCCTTCATACTTTTAAACTCGCAATGTTTGGCGATCTTCTGTATAGTGGTATCATCTAGTGGTCTATTCAGAAACTTACATAATGTCTTTATAACTTCTGGCAGGTTCTGTTCAATAATAACGATAACTTTTAAAATACTTTCATATTTAAGTGAAAACTTTTAAAAACAAATACAAGAGTAAAATAACATCATCATGAAATAACAATATGTAATATATTTTTAAATAGTTTGTCAACGTGAACAAAATAGTCGGAATTCAGATCTCGTCACAACAAATTCCTTTGATAAATTGTCAATTGATTTTATCAATAAGTATAAAGATCAGTAATACTATATTTCGACATAGGAAATATTCATACATTTAATATTTTTCTCTGTCAGTAGATTAACCGATGATTTGGTGATCAAATATCATGACACGAGAACTGTTCAACTGCAGAAAACAAACCGTGTTTTGGTTTTAAAACAGTTTTAAACAGATCGGTCCAACAATGAAAAAAATGATATCTGGACTAGATTTAGATATTAAAAGGAAGAAAAAACAATTGAAAGCCAAATCAAAAAATCATTTTGGAAAACGCAATTTCATGACAAAATTAATTGAACACTAGCAAGTGAATTAGCTTAATTAAACACAGCGAGAGGAAAACCTCAGCACAAAACCGAAAAATACAGAAAACAGGAACTCTCGGATAACATTGAATAATAATAATAACAGTGACAAAGCCTACAAAGTTTTAAAGAGTTCTGATGTCATTTATGAACAGTCTACTTCTGTGTGTTGAAAGGAGATATCTACAAATGATGACAGACGGACGGATAAACAACGCCACATTATACCTGTAGGAAATTACAGGGTGTTTAAAAAAAAATGACACTTAACACAGCTTTTTATTAGTTGTAAACAAGAAATACATTTCGATTTCGTGTCTCGAGCCTTGGCTAGATGAGAACTCTAAGTCTGTCGTAAGTATTGTCGACATCGGTTCCATCAGTCGGTTATACACTATCTAGAGCGTGTAGGATGGACTGTAACTACAAATGAGACAAAACAAAATAAAAACAAGCAGACATTATTGAACATGTGTCGCCAAACTTTTGCCATTATTCGAAAATGATACATTTTACGAGTTTTAAAAGCCAGAAACTCAGACACAATCGATCTGATAAGAGGACAGTTATTGTAATACGTAATCCCATGCCAAATATTTCGAATCTTCTCATACATATTCTATTTCCATTAAGTGAGAAAATGCAAAATTCGAGACCGAATTTCGTAATAGAAATCCTTATTCAGAAATTTATATTTTATGTATTTGTTATAAAGTTGATACACTGTTTTAACTGGGATGTTTTCCGTGAACGTAAAGCTATTTCCAGATCGATGACATTTGACATCAATTACTACACAATAGCACGTTTTCATACACGTTCCTTTTCATTAATGCGTATTCATACTGCCGATATCATGACCAAATCTAAAATCCGAGAACACGTTTTGTGTGACATGTGGAATAAAACTTAAGCATAAGACTACCAATTCATGTGACCGGACCGTTGATCCTCCTCAGAATATCAATTATAAGAATCACAGTGGAACAGTTCAAATTTCTTTGGCCACACATTGAAAAAGTCCGGAAATTTCGACTCGCAACATTGCACAACTGCAACATTTCATGATGTCAGTGATAACATTTAAGTCCGAGGTATCAATGGTAACACCATTGAAATAATCTGCGTTGTCCTTGACCTTGCCGTTGAATTAGCGTGGGATTTCAATGGTCAAACCATTGGATTTCAAAGGGCTCAGCATTGCAAAAATCTGAGATAACAGCGTTCCCATCATTGAAATAATCGGTAATGGTTCCAACATTAACACAGTCCGGGATGTCAGTGGAAACACACTGAAATAGTCCGGAAATCAGTGGTAACACACTGAAATAGTCCGGAATGTCAGTGGAAACACACTGAAATAGTCCAGGATGTCAGTGGTAACACACTGAAATAGTCCGGAAATCAGTTGACACACACTGAAATAGTCCGGGATGTCAGCGGTCACACACAGAAATAGTCCGGGATGTCAGTGGTAACACACTGAAATAGTTCAGGATGTCAGTGGTAACACACTGAAATAGTCCGGGATGTCAGTGGTAACACACTGAAATAGCTCTGGATGTCAGTGGTAACACACTGAAATAGTCCGGGATGTCAGCAGTCACACACAGAAAAAGTCCGGGATGTCAGTGGTAACACACTGAAATAGTTCAGGATGTCAGTGGTCACACACAGAAATAGTCCGGGATGTCAGTGGTAACAAACTGAAATAGTCCGGGATGTCAGTGGTAACACACTGAAATAGTCCGGGATGTCAGTGGTAACACACTGAAATAGTCCGGGATATCAGCGGTCACACACAGAAAAAGTCCGGGATGTCAGTGGTAACACACTGAAATAGTTCAGGATGTCAGTGGTCACACACAGAAATAGTCCGGGATGTCAGTGGTAACAAACTGAAATAGTCCGGGATGTCAGTGGTAACACACTGAAATAGTCCGGGATGTCAGTGGTAACACACTGAAATAGTTCAGGATGTCAGTGGAAACACACTGAAATAGTCCGGGGTGTCAGCGGTCACACACAGAAATAGTCCGGGATGTCAGTGGTAACAAACTGAAATAGTTCACACACTGGATGTCAGAAATAGGTGTCACACGCACTGAAATAGTCCGGGATGTCAGTGGAATCACACTAAAATAGTCCGGGATGTCAGTGGTAACACTAAAATAGTCCGGGATGTCAGTGGTAACACACTGATATAGTCCGGGATGTCAGTGGTAACACACTGATATAGTCCAGGATGTCAGTGGTCATACATTGAAATATTCCGGGGTGTCAGCGGTCACACACAGAAATAGTCCGGGATGTCAGTGGTAACACTGAAATAGTCCGGGACACACACTGAAATAGTCCAGGATGTCAGTGGTAACACACACACTGAAATAGTCCGGATGTCAGTGGTGTCAACACACTGAAATAGTCCGGAAATCAGTGGTAACACACACACTGAAATAGTCCGGATGTCAGTGGTCACACACACATGTCAGTGGTAACACACTGAAATAGTCCGGATGTCAGTGGTAACACACACTGAAATAGTCTGAAATAGTCCGGGATGTCAGTGGTAACACACTGAAATAGTCCGGAAATAGTTCAGGATGTCAGTGGTAACACACTGAAATAGTCCGGGATGTCAGTGGTAACACACTGAAATAGTTCAGGATGTCAGTGGTAACACACTGAAATAGTTCAGGATGTCAGTGGTAACACACTAGTCCTGGAAATCACACTGAAATAGTGGATGTCAACACACTGAAATAGTCCGGGATGTCAGTGGTAACACACAACACACTGAAATAGTCCGGATGTCAGTGGTAACACACTGAAATAGTCCTGAAATAGTCCGGATGTCAGTGGTAACACACTGAAATAGTCCTGGATGTCCGGGATGTCAGTGGTAACACTAAAATAGTCCGGGATATCAGTGGTAACACACTGATATAGTCCGGGATGTCAGTGGTAACACTAAAATGGTCCGGGATGTCAGTGGTAACACATTGATATAGTCCGGGATGTCAGTGGTAACACACTGAAATAGTCCGGGATGTCAGTGGTCACACACTGAAATAGTCCTGGATGTCAGTGGTAACACATTGAAATAGTTCTGGATGTCAGTGGTAACACACTGAAATAGTCCTGGATGTCAGTGGTAACACACTGAAATAGTCCTGGATGTCAGTGGTAACACACTGAAATAGTCCGGAATGTCAGTGGTAACACCCTGAAATAGCTCGGGATATCAGTGGTAACACACTGAAATAGTCCGGGATGTCAGTGGTCACGCACTGAAATAGTCCGGGATGTCAGTGGAATCACACTAAAATAGTCCGGGATGTCAGTGGTAACACACTGAAATAGTCCGGGATGTCAGTGGTAACACACTGAAATAGTCCTGGATGTCAGTGGTAACACACTGAAATAGTTCAGGATGTCAGTGGTAACACACTGAAATAGTCCTGGATGTCAGTGGTAACACACTGAAATAGTCCGGGATCCTGGATGTCAGTGGTAACACACTGAAATAGTTCAGGATGTCAGTGGTAACACACTGAAATAGTCCTGGATGTCAGTGGTAACACACTGAAATAGTCCGGGATGTCAGTGGTAACACACTGAAATAGTCCGGGATGTCAGTGGTCACACACTGAAATAGTCCGGGATGTCAGTGGTCACACACTGAAATAGTCCGGGATGTCAGTGGTAACACACTGAAATAGTCCGGGATGTCAGTGGTAACACACTGAAATAGTTCAGGATGTCAGTGGTAACACACTGAAATAGTCCGGGATGTCAGTGGTAACACACTGAAATAGTCCTGGATGTCAGTGGTAACACACTGAAATAGTCCGGGATGTCAGTGGTAACACACTGAAATAGTCCGGGATGTCAGTGGTAACACACTGAAATAGTCCTGGATGTCAGTGGTAACACACTGAAATAGTCCGGGATGTCAGTGGTAACACACTGAAATAGTTCAGGATGTCAGTGGTAACACACTGAAATAGTCCGGGATGTCAGTGGTAACACACTGAAATAGTCCGGATGAAATAGTCCGGGATGTCAGTGGTAACACACTGAAATAGTCCTGGATGTCAGTGATAACAAAATCACAAAGAAGTGGACCTCACACGTACAACAATCTACTAGTTCAGGATGTCAGTGGTAACACACTGAAATAGTCCGGGATGTCAGTGGTAACACACTCAGTGGTAACACACTGAAATAGTCCTGGATGTCAGTGGTAACACACTGAAATAGTTCAGGATGTCAGTGGTAACACACTGAAATAGTCCTGGATGTCAGTGGTAACACACTGAAATAGCTCGGGATATCAGTGGTAACACACTGAAATAGTCCGGGATGTCAGTGGTCACACACTGAAATAGTCCGGGATGTCAGTGGTAACACACTGAAATAGTCCGGGATGTCAGTGGTAACACACTGAAATAGTCCGGGATGTCAGTGGTAACACACTGAAATAGTCCGGGATGTCAGTGGTCACACACACACTGACTGATATAGTCACTAATGGTCCGGGAATAGTCCGGGATGTCAGTGGTCACGCACTGAAATAGTCCGGGATGTCAGTGGTAACACTGAAATAGTCCGGGATGTCAGTGGTCACACACAGAAATAGTCCGGGATGTCAGTGGTCACACACTGAAATAGTCCGGGATGTCAGTGGTCACACACTGAAATATTCCGGGGTGTCAGCGGTCACACACAGAAATAGTCCGGGATGTCAGTGGTAACACTTAAATAGTCCGGGATGTCAGTGGTCACGCACAGAAATAGTCCGGTATGTCAGTGGTCACACACTGAAATAGCTCTGGATATCAGTGGTAACACACTGAAATAGTCCGGGATGTCAGTGGTAACACTAAAATAGTCCGGGATGTCAGTGGTAACACACTGATATAGTCCGGGATGTCAGTGGTAACACACTGATATAGTCCGGGATGTCAGTGGTAACACTAAAATAGTCCGGGATGTCAGTGGTAACACACTAATATAGTCCGGGATATCAGTGGTCATACACTGAAATAGTTCGGGATGTCAGTGGAATCACACTGAAATAGTTCGGGATGTCAGTGGTAACACTGAAATAGTCCGGGATGTCAGTGGTAACACACTGAAATAGTCCGGGATGTCAGCGTTCACACACAGAAATAGTCCGGGATGTCAGTGGTAACACTGAAATAGTCCGGGATGTCAGTGGTCACGCACTGAAATAGTCCGGGATGTCAGTGGTCGCACCTTCAAAACAGTCCGAGATAAAAATGTCACATACTGAAATACACCGGATAACTTGATTTCAATGTTAGTTTACTGACAGAGAATAGTTACTCACCTTTTTCATGTCCTCATAGAACACTAGCTGGAGGTTTGGGTTGTCTCTCTGTTCCCACCATAGCCGTGTAAAGTCAAACCAAGATCCATGGTCCACTGTTAGAATCAATGTGTTACTTTATATTGATATCAAATATATGCAGTTTTTATGTCAGATTATCCTCGATACTCCATGTGTTACGGTCACTTTCGCTCTCTGCACCCTGAAGCATTTCATGACAAAACTGAAGGTTCCAGGTGCGACACCTTGTGGATAAGAGGAGACAACTATGACTTCGATGTATGCTGCACAGGCTCTGGAATTGGATGTCATTCCATTATAATCTCCAAAGGAGCGTATCAGTCTCTAATTAGTCTTTTTCCCTCCTGAAACCCACTCTAAACTAATCAAATTATTTCGCTTGTGCCTTCAGTTTTGCCAGGAAATGTTTCAGAGGTGCAGAGAGCGATAGTGAATGTAACCCCACCCCACCCCGTCACTCCGAGTATCGATGATGACGTCAGATAAAAGTACTTAAGCCAAGCATTATCCGATTAATACAACATGAACTATATACAGAGGTGTTTCATTTAAAGTTATATATCGTATCTATCATATTCCTATTATGCTTTTAAAAAATCGACATAACATTTAGAATTGTCTCAGAAATATTTCCTATCCTTAATGTATTTATCCCTATATCCGTGGTACGTATCCTCATTCCTACCAAACGCATACTTAACCTTCACGATTCGCCAGAACATTGACGTTCGTCGGTCAGACAACAGGTAGTGAAAAGAAGTCAGGGAGACGGAAAACCTGTAACCAACCATCCAACCAACCAAATCCAACCAACCAAAACCAACCAACCATCCAACCAACCAAATGACCAACCAACCAAATGACCATCCAAATGACCAACCAAATGACCAACCAAAACCAACCAACCAAATGACCAACCAACAGACCAAAGGATCAACCAATTAACGACTTTCCAGGGGGTACGTATAATAACCCAAAGGGTACGAATCCCTACCGCTACAGTATCCTAATGCCCGTAGTACCTATCCCGCTCTATCAGTACGGTAAGTATCCTCATCCCTCGGTACGTATTCCCACTCTCAGCTACGTATTTTTAATCCCACGGTACGTATCCCCAATCTCGGGGTATGTATCTTCACTCCCACGATACGTATCTTCATCTCACGCTACGTATCTTCACATATCACTATCAAAAATTTACTAATGTAAGTATCCTTGCCCCTAATGTATGTATCCCCCACCCACCCATGATGTCTATACCTACCCCCACTGTAGCTATACCCATCTTCACGGTACTTATCCCTACCCCCACGGTAGCTGTCCCCACCTTCACGGTAGTTATCCCTACCCCCACGGCAGCTATCCCCACCTTCACGGTACTTATCCCTACCCCTACGGTAGCTATCCCCACCTACACGGTACGTATCCCTACCCCCACATTAGCTATCCCCACCTTCACGGTACGTATCCCTACCAACACGGTAGCTATCCCCACCTTCACGGTACTTATCCCTACCCCCACGGTAGCTATCCCCACCTACACGGTACGTATCCCTACCAACACGGTAGCTATCCCCACCTACACGGTACTTATCCCTACCAACACGGTAGCTATCCCCACCTTCACGGTACGTATCCCTACCCCCACGGTAGCTATCCCCATCTACACGGTACGTATCTCTACTCCCACGGTAGCTATCCCCACCTACACGGTACTTGTCCCTACCCCCACGGTAGCTATCCCCACCTTCACGGTACTTATCCCTACCCCCACGGTAGCTATCCCCAACCTCTCGGTACGTATCCCTACCCCCACGGTAGCTATCCCCAACTTCATGGTACGTATCCCACGTTATCTATCTGTATATACCCAAGTGATTCGAACTTAATTTCCATGGTTTCCTCATCAATTCATGTCTATCGCCAATACCATGTCATCATGTCTGATCTTTTAACGAAGTTGCTTTCCTATACACTAGAATTAAATGAATTGCAAACATGCTGACATTTTCATACGTTTGGGCATTAAATTAATCTAGATTGTGTCACACACACCGGGAATAATTGACTTGGTATCGCAATCGAATCGTTCTTCAGGATAAAGTTGTCAACAAATGCTGTTGTTGTAGAACCAAATGGATGGATCGTAGTTTTACGTGTGAATGTTATTCTGTTTGGTGATGTTCCGCGAGGGAATGTGATCGGTTAGGTTGCCGTCTAGAATTGGATTCCCTTATGAGATATTGTAAGAGACATTTAAATCGGTATTCCTTAAATGGGGAAATTCTTCTTGAAGGTAACATTCTGATTACAGAGAGATCACATGACGACAACACAAATTACTTTTCTTTTTGTTTACATTATGAATCACTGCGACGGCAGTGTTAGATACTATCGAGTTTCTGCCTGTAACCAAGATATGCAAGATGTTAACTGCCAGGTATTTTGCAGTTTATATTCATATTAGTTATCTTCATATGAACATACAACTCCACTAAAACTTACCACAGGTTCAAAATTCCGACCAAAGTCTTGTAGAAATTAATTTAGTTAAGATCTGTTTGAGAGGAAATACATTTAAAACAAAGTCCTTTGAAGAGAAGTATGAGATGGAGGGTCTCCTGGACTGGATTTATGTAAAAACCACAGGGACTTGGCACGAATTCCAAACTCCCGGACCACACATACATATTATAGTTACAATAACATATGTGTGTGTGTGTGTGTGTGTGTGTGTGTGTGTGTGTGTGTGTGTGTGTGCGTGCGTGCGTGCGTGTGTGTGTGTGTGTGTGTGTGTGTGTGTGTGTGTGTGTGTGTGTGTGTGAGTGTGTGTGTGTTGTGTGTGTGTGTGTGTGTGTGTGTGTGTGTGCGTGCGTGTTTGTGTGTGTATGCGTGCGTGCGCGTGCGTGTACCATGGGTTTGGAATTCTTGCCAAGTCCCTATGACAAAAACTAAAAAGACAAAATCGCAAACAACGGGCAGTAGTAATGACAAGTTAAACCGTTATCTATGTGAAATGAGTAGATCAAATCAAATAGAACGTCAAAATTGTTCGAAACACAAAACAAACTATATAACACAGAGAGAACACCGACAGTGTCATATACTTACCGTGTCCAGCTTTAAACATTTCCAAAAATTCTGTCCATGTTCCTTTAAAGTTTCCTACAGACGAACTTGACTTGTAGAAATGGTAGTAGGACACACACAGATCTTTAGGGTTCCGAAATACAAGTATCATCTGTAAAATAAAATATTTCGACTTCACATTCTTTATCTCGTTTATTCGAACCTGAGAAGCTCTTAAATGGTGAAACTTTCATATTAAGTATACAGAGTTACTTCTCTTGTCATACATATGATCGGTACCGTTTACCTACTTTGCAATTTGTCTGAGCAATATCACGGGGTATCATGGATGGTTGAAGATGTGTTTTCATCACACGAGGCGACGGCATCGGCTCCGCAAGCTCAAGGCCGACCTCGTTCAGGATGTCGTCCTTGAACTCTAAGAATGGTGACCGGAAATAGACTGGCTTTTTGTGGGCACCTTCAAAATCTCCCTCGTTCATAATCAGCCAAAGTATTTCTTGCATCCAGGTTGTTCCTATAAAAGAAAAAAAACATCTTTCATTCTTAAACGTTAACTGAACGTTATTGAAGCCCTTCTAAGTATAACTTGTAGACCTATGCACGTGCACAACCTTTAAGTGATTAGAGGACGATGATTTGTTAATATGAAAATGGAGAAAGACAAGTTTGGTACTACTTAATCTATAGATAAATATTTCCCTCCCTCGTGTCCCTAGAAAACATTGATACCCTGGCGCTGTTCTCGCACTTTTATATTCCATCCAGTGACCATGAAGTGATGATATCGTTTATATACGCAGTAATCATTATCATACATAATAATTTCAGACCACAGCGATTTTTCTGTTTTATTAATTCTGTTACCGATGAAGCTGCACGATGAAATAAACAAGTTATATTTTAGATTACTCTAAATGTCTCAGAGATCAGAGAAACACAAAATCTACAGGGGTTGGATAGGGAATATTCGTGCCAATCCCCAGACAATTTGAGACAATTTAAAACAAAAGTGCATGTGTATTGGAGAATTGACAGAGGAAAGTTACTATTGCTAAATAATAGTTACAGCTTATGACGTCATCAATTGACAATTTACTCACCAGCTTTAGGATACGTCACAATAAAAACATCATCATCCCTGACAGAAAAGCCCTTGACTGCGTCCAGCACGTCCGGGGGGCTATAACCAAAGAAGAGAACGTCATCGTACACGTGCTGACCAGGTAGCACGTGTGAAAATTCGGGTGTTGTCATCATATAAATTTCCAAATTTAGAATGAGATAACAAATACTCGCTCCCTTTCTGCAGCAATCAAATCAGTGATCAAAATGTCTTCGTAATGCAATTTCCACAGCAACTTAATTAACTGTAGTTTCAGGAAATTATACCATTCCTCAAAGCCGTTAAGACTAGACGCCGATCCAAAGAATTGGTGTTGGGAGGAAGATTTCAATACCTTTTCTCCTATTCTTGCTTACACTTTAAATATTATAGAAGTCTGACAAATACACCCGAAAGTTATCACGCTCTTTTTCTTAAGACATTAATTTAGAGCCATCTAATTTCACGATCAACATCTCGGCCCTTAGATTTGTGTTTCCCAGCGCTGCCTTGAGAGCTTGTAAGCCACCATCCACATTGGCGTGATCAGCCGAGATTCGGAAATCGATATTTTCTATTGATTTTTACGGTGTATTGTTTAGCTATTACCAATAATGTTTTGTAGTGTTGGCGTCTGAGATTTGCCCTTTTCAGGCAATGTGCATTGCTCTTTAGGATCATTTAGACTTTTTTAAAATTACATAGCAATAATGTAATGTTTTTTACCTGATTGACGCAACACGCCGAAATATATGCTCCGTTCTTTGGTTTTCTACAGCTTATTCATTTTTCTTAACGGCACGCCGCTGTGGAAATTAAATATCAGAATTTAATTAAAGGTTATAGATATTGTTAAAACCGAGCAATAACGACTCATAACATAGGCCCCTGGGCTTTTAATAGGAAACCGCAATACAGCGATTCCATCGTTGTAGATGTAAATTTTCGCATAGCTTTGACATTGGTATGTGGAAGTAATGGGCATGTATTCAGAGTACGTCAGCAATATATTTCATTTCTGTGATGGGGAGTTGTGTTCAGTCATAAGTAACCATCGATAATAAGGAAATAAGTCTCGGCTTACAAGTTGTCTGTTTTTGGTGTAAGGTCGGAACGTAACGTCTCATTGAACTCCGTGATGGATATATCTCTGTTATCGGATGTCAACAGTTTTGCTTATTTATAGCATCCCAACAAATTTGGAATTAGACCGATATTGATGTTAAAATAGTACACAATATACAGGTACTGAAAGACTTCCTTCCGCACTTAGTTGGCCAAAATGCAAATATATCTATGCATGAGGGCGCTGCCTCCATTGCACTTGCAAATGTACATTCACACACAAACATGGTGTGCTTAAGGTAATGATATGCGCCAACGTTAATAGTGTCACCATTCGGCATACCTCTGCAGATTCCGTTTCCGTACGTGTTCTTTTAGAGGAATTTCCCGAGGAGTGCCAAATGCATTGACGTATCACGATTTACCTAAACGGACGAAACTAGAAATGTAAGCCAATGGCTACCATAGCAACCAATATTTTGCTAAAAAGGTTACATGAACATCTACACATGGTCCCCAAACTGTGTAGCTTCATTGAAATCGATCCAGTAGTTTAGAAGGAGTTGTCCAGACAGATTTTTTCTGGGGACAGACGAACAAGCTGATTCCAATATACGCATTTTTATATCTTATGTACAACGACGTAAAATGTTTTAGACACAACAGGCGGACACACTGTATTCCACAGGGTGACGCGATAGATGTGATCTAGTGTTTAAATGGGACACTAGAGCAGCGATCGATGTATCCCTCTTATGGACCCTCCCCATTTATCGCTGTCAAAGGAACCCTACACTTAACTGATCAGCCTTTATTTTATGGGTTGCTTAGTGAACGTTAATGTTCTATGGTGTCGAACGGTTCTTCAAACAGATATCTTCATGCCCACTTCATCCAATAACCTGTCATTCAGTCTTTACAGATGTCCGTAATGGCTTATCTGCCCTTTGATCGTCGACAGCTTTATTCACGGCCAATGTTTTAACATACTTGATTAAACATTCCGTCGAAGCGATATCTACCCGCAACCAGATTAACATAAACAATAGATGTTTTAACGACATGTTGTGGTAATCGATTTACATGACATAATACATTGTACCTACACCTATGTCAATATTTACCCAATTAATTTATATATCCATAATAACTTTCATTTGTAGGATACAGTCAAACCTTGCTATCTCGAACTCGGCGGGATCGGGGGAAAACTTCGAGATAAGCAACTTTTCGATTTAAATTAGCTCGAATGTGTTGTGTTAATTGAGACTTCGAGTCATACGAGTTCGAGATGACGATGTTCAACTGTAATAATAATCTCCTTTGTTCTGCTGTTGTTTAATGTACATGTGTAATGTAGATTCTATCTTTTGCAAAGTGACATGCGTTTAAATATGGAATTAGGTAAGATACGATCGTGTATCAAATCATTCTCCCAGATGGGAGAAATGCTCAGTTTCACGAGAAGCATTTACCACTAAAAAAAAACTTGGCCTCACTACCACGCGCGCACACAAAATTACTTTCATTTCTGGTTCTTTGTTGCATTTTACAAATATGGTAAGATATCGAGAGAGCAATGAATAAAAATCCAAACATATTACAAAATAAAAATAAATATCAAATAATTCAACGTTTTGGGTACATGGAGCTTTTACTAAGGAATGGTTATAGGGACTTGTATTGGCGCATAACTGCAGTACCCATTTGTATAAAATCCATTTCCTCATACGGCGGGATAATGGTTGTTTGCTACGGATGAGTTCGTCTAATTTTATCTCACAGAATAACGTTAACATGGTGTTAATGCTTCTAAGCACGCCTCACAAACCCATAATTTCTGTCTCACTCGACGTTTTCAAATGTCGGAAAGGTAGTGGTGCTGCTGTCGATTTGTAGATTACAACACATCGCACTGAGGGTCCCGAGGGGGTAGGGCAATCAGGAAATCAGTGCTATATGATTGGTAAAAGCTTTCAGCATATGGTGTAGCTGATAGGGAGTGGAAAATGTGTTTAATGGCAAAATATCGTTAAAGAAACCGGAAATCCATCCAAGCATTTCCGGTATATCTTCCAGGAATTCCCAAGGATTAGGCAAGTTCTATCAGAGTTGTCCTTCCTTACATTTATACGGACATTGGAAAAGATTTTATTCGACAGATACAAATGTGTTTACGTACTCTTCCTGGGATGTGTAATAATAGATTATTATTAGGGTTTCTACCAACATATTAAACAAATAACCAATCCGGAGTCCTTCAACATTTTCTATAAACGACTCGTGTACAAATGCCGAGGGTTCCCGATTGGCTCATCTGCATAACGGGGATAAAGTATTTGTCGGTAGGGTCTGCTTTAATGTTGGGAAATTCTTTTCTTTGGTGTTCATGTTGATAACTTTTAAGATTAGGACTGATGTTAATTAAAAGGGTCATTTTGAAATACACATTAGATGAGGTCTCTATACTGAATTGACATCAAATCTATATAATCTCTTTTTATCGTCTGTTCTTTCGTTCTTCTCATCTTTTCCTCCTTTTGATAAAATGATTTAAACTTACATTTGTACGTCTACGAATTACATATGTTCACTTACAACCAAATTCGACATTTACACCTACAATGTATTTTTTTTTTGCATGCTTTTTAATTCCCCAATTGTGGACTGGAGCACCCAGGGGTTATGATCACTGTCATGGCAAAATTGAAGACCAAAACGAAGTATTGTGATTGGTTCCAGGAGAAAAAAACCTACCAATCATAAGGCTGATAAGCTCCTTTTGAAGATGACAAAGAAGCGACAGCCAATATCGAAGCTAATACGATAGACCGTTATGCGGCCTCGAGATTCGTTTGATGTACACCAAAAGGATCTAAATTGGTCTTTTTGTCTTGTCCACATGGTGTCACGCATGGAACCTTCAATGTTGCCATGTCATGTTGGAGGGGTGCAGAGAATGAAAGTAATTGTAACCCCTAGAGCATCGAGAATGGGACTGGAGCAGCCAATTTATTTAAGAAAACATAGCAGTTTCCGGCTCTAAAAATTTTGGACCTAAACGTTTTTAATACAATATTTTTATTTAACATGTTATACTATTAAACTAAGTCGATTACAATGCATTAAGGAGTAGTAAGTCATTCAGAGACAAATGTGAATGAAGTTACGCAATTTAACTACCAATCTCCTGTTTGTGAAATACTTTCAAAATGGAGATCACCTGGGTTTCATTTTCCCATTTGATATAGTATGCTTTTGATATTATTGAAAATTATCTACATAGACAGTGCTCCAGCCGAAGACCTGACTCGGTTTTCCCCCAGTATGCAGCCATCCTGCATTTCCGAGATTTGTGTTCGTCGTTATAGAACAGATGTTGGTACAGTCCTGGATTTTACGTGATCTAGCATTAAAACTAGAATCGATCTTTCGGTATTCCTACTGGCGTTATCATAAACAATCGGAGAGGTTATTGATGTCTAGCCGGTTTTGTTAACTGGTGTTGAGATTCATCCCAGTGATCACGTGTGAATTTGTCTAGAAAACGCAATTCAGTAAAATCTGAAAATCTGTATATATCAAGTGCTGTCTCGGTTATGTGATTAAACCGTATCAGTCTGTATGGTCTATTTCCACTCGTGTAAATACGTGTTGCCACCAGTCAAGGAAATGCCCGTGACATGTGATACGAACAGATTACCACATTTACATCGATGTAAGTTGATAAATAGAATCTGTCTCTCCCGTCGGGATGAGGAAGGTGTTCTTTTGCCTGAAATAGATATATCCATGCTTTTACCTGTGTAGGATTTCATTTTCTCTTACCCTGGACAAGTAAATCCATGTTTTTTACTGTGTGAGATTAAAAGAATATTTTACCCCCACTAGGGTGAGATAGTCGGATCTCAGCCAGAGGGAGAAGATTTTTAGTCAGCAAACACGTGGCTTGCTGGCGTCACAATTCAACAATCTGTACGAAATATATAACGTCACACCTCGAATTATATGTACGTGACGTCAGTGCATTGTTCATGTGACGTCAGTAATTTTTTACTCTTCCGTCATACCATTGTCCTGAAGGGGAACACTTCCCATCCCCTCAAGTTCTAATTAGGTTAAAAAACCTACCTTGGAGGACGTCAGAGTTAAGACAGAATATTACATTCCGAGATCTATGACATAAGAAATCGAGAACATTATGTCATTCCCGCGACACTCAAAAATTACAAAGTCAGCGCAATAAGGTAAACAATATGAAAAAATATGGTATATAAATAGGAAAGTTTGCATTACTATATACAGTAATAATTTCCTGTATTTTTATTGCAATTATTTTTTGCCTGTCCGATAATCTCGACAATCAATTATGGCGACCTCGCCAAATCTTTGACCTTTCCACGAAAAATTAAAAAAAAAGTAATGAAAAAATCCTATAGCTACGTAATGTGCGCACTCCTCACTACTGACCTTTCACGAATTTACTTTTGCAAAATGGTGTTGCCTCCGTCTCGGTGCAACGGTCACGTGTTCGAATCACAATTTTTTTAGGTTATTCGTTCGTATCTTGTTTTCTTGGTTCGACATCATGAATTTATGTCTTATTTCTTTATGTTTGTTTTTGTTTGTTTGTTTGTTTCCTTGCTTGCCTTTTATCAGTCAACTCTCTATGTCAGTACTAAAAATGAAAGTTGAACAAGGAGTTTATATGATAGCGTTATAGTTCATACATGGGTAGGTCTGCTTTCGCTATCGTAAGACTATCTATAAGTACACAGTTAGCATCTGATATTGTTTGTGCATTCCGATATTCATTTCATCGTCTGAATTGACGGAATAGTCTATATATTCAAAACGAGTTTCAGTTGAAATGATTTACATAATAACACGAATGTGTTGAAAATCTTCATTCTAACAATCATCACATACTAGAAAAATCCATTTACATGATCTTTCCCTTCCATGCCCGGTGTTTCCTTTTTATGTTTTGGATCGCTTTGAAACACACTTATAAAAAACACGGCACACTTTGGATATGGAATGTACCGTTGTTAACAAGAGATAGTCGCACTCTGTCGTCTATCTAGTCCATCCGACCATAGTTCAATAGATGAACTTTTGAAATAACAACACTTACCAGTATTATTTTTCTGTAAAACATTTATGTGACAGGTGGGCATTTTTCTACGGGTCACGAACGATTTTGTGGTGGTTTTATGATATTCCTATCGCCATGATTCTGTACCAGGTCCGGCATTTGTACAATCTCTCAAAGTTAATATGGAAATGAAGTGGGTTTGTTTAACGTTAAAAAAGTAATTTTAACATCATTATATATGACAAGCTCAGTAATAACAATATGAGAAGTAATTAAAAAAAACGGACCTCTCACATCCAATTTAATTTCAACATCCACAAATTATTCTCGCGGTGATATATTTATTATTTACATATATATTATTATCCCACGACCTCGAGAGCTTTAAATATCATTCCGGGATGGATAGTTGGTAACCCACAGGAATGAACATGAAGACTTGCCCTGATTTCGTTTGGTAGTGTTTCTGTGACTACAATTACATCTTTCTCCTCTATATGTTTTAAAGTTTGAAGTTCATCCAATTCATTCAACAAACTGTCCGCATTAGTGAGAAGTGCTTTCATAGACAGAAACTCTTTCCCAGTCAGTTAATTCACGTCCCTGGTTAATTGTATGTCATTTAGCCGAAATGAATACGAATATGGAATATATTTCTAAGTAGAAGTATATTCCTTGATATAATCCATGTTGTCGTAAAGCTTTTGTTTAGTGTAGTACCTAATTAAGACATTATAAGGGAATTATTCGATACCCTACCGCTGTCTGTCATTGGAGGAACCGTTCAGGACCTCAAGTACTTTGATTATTTTCAGTGTAAATACGAAAATAAAGCTAGCTTTACCTAATGCGCAAATGCCATAGCGCGGCAAAACAAATATGGCTCCGACCGGTTGACATTCTGTTAGAAACACAAGTTATTGTACAACGAATGTTACCTTCCTTTCAAATATGAGCGGCAGGACAGAGAGAGGGCCAGAGACCTCTGCGTTATTACTGAAGAAACTGTGCATGAAATTGACAGGATTGTCAGATGGTATGTTGTCATACATTCAAAATGATGTTGGTCTGAACTTGACCAATCTGTGCAATTTGAGACCATTGTTCTTCGTTCAGTGTTGTTATTTTGAAGTATTATATTGAAAGGTCTGAAATTTATTCCAAGTGACCCCTTGTACTTCGGAAAATGACTGAATATTAACACATGCCTAGGGGTTGAGTGATGTGCTGGTGGAAAAAGGGGGTGGGGACGAATTGACTTGGAAAGTTACAAATCTATATGGAAAATGCTGACCATCCCCCAATGATAATGATTTTTTTGCAGAAGAGAGCAGCTAAAATTCATGGGTTACATGTCAATCGGGTATTTTCATCTTATTAATATACAGTGTATATCCGTGTGTATACATAAATAGCAAAGACTCGAGAGAAGGAAAACACTTATCAGGATTTGAACAGAAAACATTTCATGTCTGATATTGTGACAAATTTGAAATATTTACTGATAATTAAGCCACCTGAGACAAAACTAAACATATTGTTCATTTCCTGTATCCCTACTTCAACACAATGGTTATTTTTGTGTCTACCCCAAACTTTTGCAGTTTTCAAGGAGGCACTGTACTGCTATAGTCCTGATTACAATGTTACCTTAACAGAAACATTAAAAGAAATTTTTCACTTACATCAGATTTTTTCAAGTATGCAACAGTAGACCAACATGTTTTCTGTCATCCTGCTATAATAACATGCTTCCTCCTTACATCAACAATATCCAAAGTATGTTGAATGAGGTCAATTGACCAGGTAGATGGAGATGTACTTGATGTAATTCTGTCTATTTCATAGTAATTGAAATTTTTTCTTACTACATCATTTCTCAAGTTTAAAACATGTGTTTCTAACAAAAATTAAACATGAATTTTATTTTCATACTCTACATGAGGGATTGATCAACTAGATTTTTTTTCATCCCATTTTCTTTTTCTTTCAGATTCCGTCTTGCCTGTGTTACAACATTCACTTAAGATTATTGGAAGGTAATATGACATATCTTTTTTGCATTACGATACTGTGGTTAAATTACATACATTTAAGTTGAATTTTATTGAAATTCAAAAACTATTTGTGCATTATCCATAATATAATCCTTGAATGTTTATCAAAGACTGAGAGAAATAATTAATTAGTGGAATTTTCAGTAAAAATTAAAGATATCTTAGTTTGTAAGTATGACACAGCTTTCTTTTTCATATTCAAAGCTATGCCGTTCTCAAATAACTTACAATGTTTTCCTTTATTTTCAGTAATTTTGGTTCACCAGTAGAGACAAATGAATTTCAAGTCGCAGAAAAAATCAAAAGAAAGCGTAAGACGATACAAATTTTTATTTTCATTATTGCCATAGATTTAATTACAAATAATTACTTTTTTTTTTGAGATGTTCATCACTGTTTCCTACATTGTTTTACCTCCAGCCTTTTGTTTACAAGCCCACCAACATCAAGTGATAGGCTTTCAAATCACATTACATCTGAGGTTTGTCAGTAAACAGTTATTGCAATTTCTATACCTTGAAAAATATCATGGATCATGCTCAAATTTCATATCTTTGGTCCCTAGATTGGCCATCCTAATTTTGGGACTAATCTAAAAAAAAAATAGGTTGACAGGCAGTTATTTTGGATTTTAACTATGAAAGTTTATAAGTTTATCATGAAAAATAAAAGATTGATCTTTCTTTAATTTCATTTGTAGATTCCCCTTGGTCCTTAGTTGTGCCCTTTTGATTTTGAAACTGATCAGAATAAACAAAATGGCAGGGAGGGCCCCATTTTGAATTTGAGAGTTAAAGATTATTATACCTATTTCTTTGGAGGAGTTCTCAAATTTTGTGTTTCTTGATTTCATTTCATTCTTTTCAAGAGGAAAGAAGGGAAAAGTTCATGTGAAGCTGCTTATCTTGATTTGAATAGCATGTCTTCACTTGTTCTGAAAAATTTGTTTAAAAATTTGCTTTTGAAGTCATTTTTGGATAAAGTAGAGCTATTTCTTATTTCAGTGGTTCGTAAAGGAAGGGAGAAAGATGCTGCTATCTTTTCCGATCTTCACAGAAAACTTCAGGCACAGGTTAGTTGTATAACTAGGTCAAATGATAAAACCTATGAAAAGTCATGAAACTGAAACAAATTGTGATAATGTCTGGAAAACACAGTCACTGTTAAAGGGATATTCAGCCTAAGTTAGGATTTTATAGGATGCTTTCAAAAAAAACCTGTACAAAATATTCTACTTATGTTTGTATGGAAATTGTACGCCATAATTTATCATTTAAACAAACATACGATATTTAATTCGCAGAAATTGTTCATAGATCAAGCTACAAGCTAGATTTATTTTCAAACTTTCACCCAGCCCTGATTGTGTTTTTTGTTGTAAGCTGAATGTAATATAGGTATAAAGTAACAGAAATCAAAATAAGGTAATAAAACTATAACCTCAGCTGAAATCCTAGAAAACAAATATACACTTGTGTATTTAACTCAACACTCTGCATGAAATCTATTATCCAATGAATTTTCAAAAGCTTCATCGGGCCACTTACATATTTGCTGGTATCATAATCATTTTTCTGAAACAATTTGTTCAGGATAAATAACGTATCACATGAAATGAAGATTGAAAATCCCTTTGGTGATAATATCAGAATGTTGGTGTTTATCTTTCTTCAAATCATTTATTGCTTAAATTTTAGACAGCACTGGTTAGGTGACAGTAAAATTATTCTGAAACCAGATTTTTGCGAAGCTGCATTTCACAAAATCTGAATGGCAATTAAAAATAACCACTAATATAACAGCCAATGAAACGTGGTGTTTCAAAGCTGACACACTCTATACAATATTTTTTTGGCAATGTCCGAGTGACAGTCTTCAGAATGTATTTTATTGAAGTTACAAAGATACACACTGCATATATATCAACTTTGTAATGATGTCCTATTATGAAGCCTATACAATAACAGATGATTTATTAAATCACATGGCAAAACATCAACTGACGACACTATAGTATGATGTATGATGTATGAATTTTACCACATGCAAACCGTAAATATGATATATGATATTTCATGATAATTTATGATTGCAGATTAGATATTTCAAGGAATAAACAAACAAATGTGAAGAAAAATCACTGTTCTTATGGGAAAAAACAAATCAAATTACAAATTTCTTGTCAACAAATATTTTCGGTTAGTTTGGTACATCAAAAAATTAACTTAGATGATAAGACATCTGGAAAAAAAACTTGTCAAATGTTAATATCAAGGTCTGCTATTATCACATTTTCCCTTGACAAATGTAAGATGATATTAGGTATGTTTCACTGTACCTATAACTTACACAGTATATTTGTAGGGTATACTGAAACAAAGATGGGCTGTCTTGTACCTTCTGATGTCACTTAATGATTCTGCCAATGGACCAGCTGCAAAGGTAGGTAACTGTATTATTCTTCAATGATTTTCTTTTTTTAAAGTCCAATGGCATGTCAAAAAGTGGCTTGATAGTGCATATTACCATCTTCATTAGAGAAGTAACTTTATATACATTTTAGAATGAATTTTGCTTCCCCTCTTTCTAAAAATGAATTTCAATAAGAGGTAGAGTTGTGAATATTAATGTTACTTGACCATGAAAATCCTTGAAAAATTTGAGCCATTTTTGTATGCCTCAATTTCAGCCCACTGTGAATGGCTCTGCCTTGTTTGGATCAGGCTTGCCCTCCCATGCCACCTCCACGCCGTTCAATCCTGCCCTTCATAGGTATCCACCCCCACCTGGAAGTGTCGGGGAGGTGACAGCATTACACTCCGTCTCTCACTGCACAGGCAGTAGTGGCATCAGTAGTATTCGCAGTGACCTCAACAATAGTAACCCATCAGTACCCCAGTCATACATGCCAGTGTAAGTAAATCACATTAATTCTAAAAAGTCTGTCATCATTTTTCCTGTGTTTTTGGTATATCACAAGTCATTTAATTTATATTAAGTTCTCTTATCCGATGATTCTAGAAACAATGCCTGCTTCTTGCCATGAAGGATACTGTAGGATGTTTTACAAATAAAATAGTTAAAATATGTTTGTTTCACACCATTAATCATCTGTTGGATTTGATTTTTTGCAGTACAACATTCAACTCTGTCGAATTGGACCGAAGTGGTAACAGCCGAACGCTTGGCTCTCGTCTGGCTTCTACTCTTTCAAGACAAGGTCTTTTCTTCTTAATTTTTGTTTAATTAGTTTATATTGAGTTCTAATTTTTAAAAATACTTTTCTCAAAACCATTTTTAAAGAATTTATAATTTGAAAGTTTTGGGCAACAGAAAAAAATTGATATATTGTTTGATGTTATTTGTACTCTGTGATTCCTGGAAATTGATATTTCATTAAATCACTATGATTACATAATGACATGAATGGAGGTTTTTGACAGACTTCAAGTAAAAAAATACCTTCCTAAACTCACTAATTTGTAAAAGATTGTATTTTTTGATACAGTTGAATTTAATGGATATTGATAAATTTGTCTGAGAAAAAAAGAATTTTCAACCATCAGAAAATTATATGGGTCAAAAAATTGTGATCTTCAAGGATTTTTCAATCATTGATGTGTATTTTCAACATTTCATCACCGATGTTGTAATTCAGATAGAATTGTTTGAAATTAATTATTTTCTTCTAAATTATAGAAAAATCAAATACAGCATTAGTACCAAGTAGGGACAGTCGCCGCAATAAACCTGAATCCAACATATTGGTTCTGCGAGGGGATAAAAGTAAGTTTTCTTGAAAAATGGCTATTTCAATTGACCAGATTTGATGGAAGAAATCTGACATATAAGACATAAAAGGGATTATTTTGTACAGTATTAGACCGAAAAAATTGTATTTGAAGATTTATAGTATTTTGAATTTTCTATATTTCAAATCGGATAAAAGTGATGATGATTTTGTGGATTGACTTGATAGCCGTAACTGGTAGTCCAAACTGATTCTGTTTTTTGTTATTTCCAGCCTCCTTTGAGTTGCCTGAAGCAGAATTGATCAAAGATCTTGTGTATGCTTTTCAAGGGATTGAAGGAAAATGGATTAGATTTGATCCTTCTAAAGAAGGCTACAGAATAGACTCCCAGGTACTCACAAGTTACCAACAATACTGAAACTTAAACACAATTAGCTTTAATCATAGATTGTCTCTAAATAGTTACGCATGATTTGGGAAATGTGCTAGGACATGCCAGTCGATTATCTGCATAATGTGGGACCATTTCTCATGAATGATAAGAATGTGTGAGGGATTGTTTGGCATTCAATTCATGATTTAAAGTAAAAAAATTGTTTTTTTGCTTCTTACAAAAAAAAATCTGGAATGGCGTGTTTCAAAAACTTTGCTGGAAAAACAAATTGCACCTAATGAATTATCGAAGTCTTGATTAGAAACAGCTCTAATTGAGGACCAATATCTATTTTTGTCATGCATTTGATGGTTTTGTAAAGGTACTGGCATTGGTGCAATGAGGTAACAAACATGACTGGTAACAGACAACTAAGGATGGCATCTACTGTTAGTTATTTCAGTTGCGTTTGACTTTTGGTCACATTTTAGAAAATGTGAGAGAACACTTGTAGGTTTTGATAAACTAATATATTTTTTATTCAGAGCTTTTGTGAATTTTAGTACTATCAGACTGACATAGGTTATTTGTTTTGCGTAACCATAGTTTAACAGTAGATTAATCGTGAATTATGTTGTTTATTTGGAGGCTGGGATACCTAAAGCAATAAGACAACTAGTCAGCAAGCTTGCCGAATGTGGATGGCTTTATTCCAAAACCAAGGATTACATCCAAACTAGAAGTGCAGACAAGACTTTTGGCTTAGTTGGTCAGGTGAGCTTGGTTGAGTTGGTATTGTACAGAAAAATCTCATAATGTAGCAAATTTGCAGAGTATTTAAAAGGCATGAAAAAATACCACCAATTATGAAATGGCGCTGACTTCCTTATTCAGGTTTTTAATGTATATTTGGGTTCTGTTTCAGAGTTTTTGTGCAGCATTACACCAGGAACTGACTGAATATTACCGTCTAATCGCTGTCCTAGAGGGTCAGGTAAATCATGTTGATATATTTATTGTAAATAGAGTGAAGAATTTAGAAAAGATCATATTGTGTGGCTGGCCTAGACTGAGTAGTGAATTTTATAGAAAATCTGTATGGATTACTTGATATGGAGTTTGCTGATACAGGTTTCATAGTCTGACTAGGTAAAAGTCAGCCTTAATTTTATTGCAGATATAGCTGGTAAAGCTTTCAAAGTCTCTGTCAAGTTCTAAAGTACACTGTATAAAATTGATTATTGTGATACAGTTGAACCAGGGAGATACAGGACTGACGTCACCAGAGGAGAGCTCCATCTCGCTGAGACAGTTGGTGGTATGGACATTTGATCCGTTGTTACGCCTTAAGACTCTAGCCACAGTGGTGGATGTGTGTCGAGGTAATTGTTACAGTAACTTTTAACAGAGGTATCTATAAAGCTAATTTTTGGAAGTCTGAACTACTTGCCATTTAAGATGTTAAGAAGAATCACGAGTTGTAAACCTTTTGAGTAATGTCTCATTCCATTACTTTACTGCTGAAATATTGAAACTTCCAAGTTTTCATCATGTCTTTTCACATCCATGTAAATAAAGATATTCATGGATGATAGACATTCTCTCTAAATGTTAATCACTGTATTTTTGTTTCTTTTTTGAAATTATAATTCGTTAATAAATACTGGAGGTATTAATTATTAGAGTATTAATACCAATATTTTTAATGGTAATTTTTTAGCTAGAAATAGGTCTATGGTCTTCAAAACAATTTCAAATGAATTTCAGTAAAATATTACAAAAATTGTCATGTGATGAAAATGAAAGTTAGAGAAAATTGTAGTCAGTGATATCATCTTCCTCTCTATGTCACAATCCTCTTTATTGTGCATTAACAATTATTTCTATTTTAGAATGTGGGTGATGGAATGTGCTTTATCTGTACATTTATTTAGAATTTTGTATTTACAGGACTGTGAATTAATAAATAAGAATGATCAAATTATAGGTAAGAAGGGTGGAGCTCTAGCCTCATCTTTGTACTCCTACATGCAGCATGGAGACCCAAACATCAAGGCCCTGATAATGCATACCTTGACCATGGTAAGCAGTCTGGTTTAATTTCCACAGAACCATTACACCTTTCGTGTTGAATTAGTGGCTTGTTTATATTCTATTACTCATTTATTATTAAGGTAATAGGTAACTTTAATTTGGTTTAAACCTGTCTGTCTTAACTCCCAGGTTCTTCATCTTCATTAGATTTTCTGATTCATTACAAGTTGGGCAATGATTAGTGATAAGATTAATTAGTTCAACAATGCTTTCTTAATGAAAGAGTTTGTTTTGACAGGTGTCCCAGCCTATTTACTCCACCTTGATACGGTGGATATATGATGGAGAATTGGAGGACACTCATGACGAGGTAAGGCATTGTCATTGAATGAGAACAGATATAACTTTAACCGGTTTATTAGTTATGTTATTGGAATTTAACGAAACCTAACTAGAGATATTATAGAGATAAACTTGAAAGCACTGCTCTGTTGTTGAGGTCTTTTGTGTAGGACTTTGTATGTTTTGTTGATAGTAATATTTGCGTTGGCTGTAAAGATAAATATAAAATTCAAATTGTTTCCAGGATCTCTTTTAATTAAATATGGTTTTGTAAGAAGGCAAATGATAGCTGTCTGTTGATATTTTTACAGGGTAATATAGAGAAAGCTTTTGAGTATCGAGCAATTTCTTATATACATTTCAGTAATGTAGATACAAAGGAACTAACCTATTTATTCTTGTAACATCAAAATTGGTATTTTCAGTTCTTTGTGGCATCAGATCCAACTGTAAAGAATGACCGATTATGGCATGACAAGTACACACTGAGGAAGTCTATGATCCCATATTTCATTACAATGGACCAAGCCAGACGGGTATGCAATCGAACAATGAAACTTGTCATTTGTATACAGAGCTATTTTATTGATAATTAAATCTCAAAAAGAATTGAAAGATCTCAAGAACTGCAAGAGAGAAAATTTCAAGAAATAAATCATGAAGTGATATAAAAACATTTTCAGAATTTATAATCAAAGTACGGAGTATTTTAGCTGAATAAACAAGCAATGTGAAAAATAGGAGGATAAAGAGTACAAATCTGTTTTTAAACAGTCTTATTTTGATCTTTAAAGCCATTTTAAGTAAAAAGAGGATTGAATCATTTGATTCATAAACTGAATAAAAACTGACAAAAAAATTATCACAAATTGAAAAGAAGAAGACATACAACACTTTCTACTGTATGTATAAAGGATAAGCTATAACTACTACAGAGTTAAGACCCTCTGTTGGTTGTAACTAGAAATTGTCCACAGATCGTGTATTAAACATTAAATTCTTAAAATATACATGAATGTGTGAATTTTGCTTCTGACAGATACTGAATACTGGTAAATCAATTAACTACCTGAGACAGGTGTGTCAGGACCGAACCCCCACTAAAGGTCGTGAGGTCGCCATGATCATGGACAACACTAAAGGTAAAATATCTAGAATATGATATAATACTACGTTCACTGCTTACATTATATCTGTTGTTAGGATGTGTAGTGCCCATACAGTATCCTAAAAGCATAACATCCTCCTACCTGCTTTATCTGTATTTTGTCTCCTTTTTGATGGTGGTGGTGGAGGGGGAAGGTGGTTATTAAGTTCATTGTATATTTAGGTCACCTTAGACAAGGTCTCACCTTTGTCCAGTGTCGGTAAACAATTTAATATTTTCAACTTTTTCTCAAAAAACCCTGAACAGATTTTAATTGGCAGATTTTGGAGAACCTTCCCTGGCCTACGATGAACCAAAATGATGAATTATATGATCCCCACCCCAAAGGAGCCTGACAGGTTGTGCCAAAAGTGTCGTATTGAGACAAATTTAAAAAATCTTCTTCTCAGCACCCAGATATAGTAAAATCAAATGCTGTTTATGTATCCTAAAGTGCTTCACCAAAATTGTGAATTGCATTTCCCCATGATCTTGCATTTCCCCGTGGGGAGGGGGTAAAGTTTACTATATCTTATATAACAAATAGAGATTTTTTAGAAATAATTTGTTCAATTTCATTGGAAATATTTAAAATTTGGGCAGAATTATGAGTGAGGGATGATGGCTAAATGGTATGCTCATATTGATTCTGACTGACCCACAGAGGCTGATGGCTGGGGTCATCATTTTACTTGAATTTCAAAAATCATCTTCTCAGCACACAAGTATGGAAGAATCAAATGCTCTTCATTGATGAAAGCATTTTAAGATTAGGGAAAATTGTATTTTTTAGCATAATGTTGTTTATTTCCCACTGAAAAAAAAACTTTGTAAGCATTATTAGTATAGGATGACAGTTTTGATGGTATGCATGTGTTGACACTGGCTTACTATCATCAATGTCACAATTTCTTCTTCATGACAATTGGAAGCTTTTTCCTTTTTAACCTTTATGTTCTATATTGCTCATCTCATGGGATTGACTTGTTTTTTGTTTTGTTTTTTTTTTATTTTCCTCAAAAATGATCATGTTAGCATAGCAAAGCAGTACTGTCAAGATTTAGTAGGCAGCTGCATTGAGAACAATCAGAATCTCTTTTTGAGTAATTAGGACGATCAATATTTATGTTGGATTTATCACCAGAAATTAAATCTTGTTCTTCGATATCTGCAGGGATTGAATAATTTTTCAGCTTCAGTAAAGGCTGGGGGAGTTACCTCCCTTATAGCATAAATAACTCATTTCAACAGAGAGAAAATGTATGTGAATAGTCAGTTGGATACCAGTTAAAAAAAGTTCCATTGCTTTTTTGGTTTTCATTAAACTGACCAACTAGTTTTTTTTTTAATATGTATTTTTGTTATGTTATTGACAAACACATAAGTCCTTTTTTCAGCAACAATGACATATAAGTGACCAAAATTTTGTGTGGAGGAGTTACCTTCCTTAGTTTGTTGAAAGAGTTATGGGCCCTGTTTTTTTATTTGATTATTAATAAAATAGCATAATTTTCGTGCAAGTGTGAATATTTTGAACTGAAATTAATTTTAGAATTTTTACTTTATTATAGTTAATATGTTAAGGAGAAATGTAGAAAACTGAATAAATTCACTATAAGTTTTTTTTTGTGTAAAAGTGTTAATATATTCAAATTTCCTTATTTGGTCTTTGGAAAATATACTTACTGGATATAAAGATTTTGTAGGCCATGTGGAATCAAAGCAACACAACCACCATTCTGCCACACTGTCTCACTCTCTAGTGAGTTGGTACCCAATGGGAGGTTCAGATTGACATCCTGGGACTATAGAAGCAGGGAGGTTTTCAGTACCTCTTTTGTGCCGACATCCTAGGAACATTTCACTCCTCATATGAAGTATGGCAGATTAAGTGAAAGAAATCTCTTTGACTTATTAAAGTATCAGTAACTTTTCAGTTTTGCTGTAGGCAGGAAACTCAAATTAATGTTTGAAAGCTGTATATGATATGTATAAAGCTGATGAAGATCTAAGCAAAAAATTTGTTTTTGAGGTTATTCTTTTAATTGTTGGCTATTTTTTTCTCAGTAAAAGAAGTAACATTAGGATGGTAGATTTGATGTAAATATTCATACATGTGTATGAAAAATCAGCTTTACTTTGTCAGTGGAATATTGGTGAAATTACTGGAATAAATTCTCTCTTTATCACATACTATCAGTAAGGTCTTCTGATGTTGGTTACTTGACTGGTCTGGAGGTACAAGGATTGGGAGGATTTTTTTTAGGCACAAACACTCTCCATAGTGTCAAAATTTCTTTTTGAATTATCCACTGCACAAGTTATAAACAAGGAAAGTTCTACTTGTTCAAAGAGATTCACTTCTGAGGTGTTAAAAGTCATATTTCTGATACATTATAAATGATTATGTTCATAACGGATTTGATTTCACCTTATTTGCAGGAAATAATGATAGCTTGAAATTAGTTCCAAACATTTTTTTTACGAGTGAAAATAGCAGAAAATATATATAATTTACCTGTATAAATGAATGCTAGTGTAAATATAAGCATGAAATTTAATCCTTGTGTTCTAATCAAAACAAGGTCAACCACAGAATATTTTCCCTGAGAAATAAAACAACTATACTGTACATAAACAGTTTTAAGGACACCAAAGAAGGTAGAGACAGGATGGTGGATAGATTGAGAATTCCATTACTGGAATTTTTGTTTTGCCTGTTTTGTTAATTTCTGTTATATTTGTATATCAAATAAAAGAAAAATAGCTAAAATATTGTCAAATACCTCCTGGTTTCAGCGGGTGAAATGTTTATGCAGGACACAGTGAGTGAATTTCAGCACATGATTGATTCCGTTTACAAGGAGACAAGTCGCCATCTTCTGGATACCCTACATAACAAGTACAAATTTATGGACCATCTCAAGGTGCGTTGTGTGATCATATGTCTTACAGTACAAATTTATAGACCATCTCAAGGTGGGTTGTGTGATCACATGTCTTACAGTACTAATTCATGGACCATCTCAAGGTGCGTTGTGTGATCACATGTGATATGGTACAAATTCAAGGACCATCTGGACGTGGATAATATGGTCGCATGTTTTAAAGCTCCAGTTCACAATCATGTCAGTGTTGGTTATTTTCACTTGCACAAGGTCGTGATGGATCTTTTGGTGATGTTAGATTTTTTTACATATATAAAAGGATTTTGGAACCCTCTATGTGGTTCTCATATCTCGAGATAGAAGACATTGTACCTTATATAATAAGTGTAAGTAAGTAGAAGTTAATCCCTATAGGCAATGGAGGGGTTCATCAATTTATTTATTGGTCGACTGGTATCGCCCTCCTTTGGGCTTCTTCAGATGTACCTGACCCCTTCGCCTATTAGATTTGACTACTACTTACGTAATTACATTACTTATCCTTCAATCACTGTTCCAAGTCTTCGGATATCCAGAGTAAGATCCAAGGAACTAAGAATCCACTCCATAGACAATAACCTTATGTAGGATGAATTCCTCCTCCTGTGATATATTATGCTGTATGTGTTACTCGATGTTTTCAGGCTATGAGGCGATACTTACTGCTGGGACAAGGGGATTTCATACGACACCTGATGGACCTCTTAGAGTAAGAATTCCAAATATATTTCATATATTCATGGTTCTGTAATTTTAAACTTTATGAATTTTTATGAATTAGAACTATGAAAAACTTTTATGCTGTTTGTTACTAATAGAGTTTTATCATTTGAAGGAAATGTGTCAATAGTATTGAAAAGGAGAAAGGAAACTGTTTCTGTAGTGGACGTAGAGTATTAAAATGAATGATATCTATGATTGCCAAGTGGTTAAGGCCTTTGAAAGCCTATGTAGGGCAGTCACTTGGCACTTGCTGGAGGTTGGTGGTTCTTCTCAGGAATCTCCGACTTTCCCCCACCAATCAAACCTGGCACATCCTTAAATGACCCTGGCTGTTAATAAGACAAACCAACAATATACCAAACATATAGTTTTGTGTATAGCTACTGTATGATAGGAATATCACAGTAATATTTCTGTTTTTGTAGGGAAGATCTTGCCAAGCCAGCCGGGAACTTGTATCTTCATAATCTGACTGGTATTCTAGAGACAGCCATTAGGGCAACTAATGCACAGTTTGATGACTCGGATATTCTTAAAAGGCTCGATGTCAGACTTCTTGAGGTTTGTCTAAAGTTTTACACATAAATGATATTTACTCTTTACATCTAAGGTAGTTTTGTCCCAAACTATGATACATGTACCACGTGTGTATAGATGGTGATTGTTATTGAAAAGTTAAACACATATTTACACTGTAAAATAAAAATGGATTATTGTCAGCATAATTATGATGCTTGAAACAAATTTTCCAGTTAAAATTCAAACAAATTTCTTTTTTCCATATCTGAGTGATAAAAATATTTTTTACATATTTCAAAACAAGTCATTTGCTCATAATTTGTCATATGAATTGTAGGAAATCATTTTGCTGTAGTTCTGTAGATTTTTACTCAAACATCACCTAGCATTATGTCTAATGTGTGTTACATTTTGCATGGAAATGTTCGCCAAGGTTCTCTTTTGCCTTCATATGAATTTTTTTTTATTTCTGTTTTTTTACCCAGTGTTATAATCTTTATAGAAGGCAAAAAAAAAGGTACTTCAGATTTAACATCAATCTTTAATTTTCTTCTCTGTTTTATTAACATTTTAATGAAAAAAAAAGATAATGCAGGCGAAAGTTAAACTTGTGAATGATTTTTTGTATGCAGTGTGTAAGGTTGGTGTGAGTAATGTTTGACTACTCCAGCTATGTCTGATATGTTTAACAGGTGTCAACAGGTGATACAGGCTGGGATGTGTTCAGTCTTGACTACCATGTAGACGGTCCAATCAGAACGGTGAGTATATCACAGTAGCTTTTAACATCAAGTGACTGAAATGAATTAACTGTATTTCTGATGAAACTATTGTAAACTGACAGAGAAGAAGATTTTTTTTAACAACAGGGAAACTCTGTGAACTGTTTAAACAAATGCATAAAATTCCGCTGGTGGAATATTTGAGTTGCTGAATGAGGTGTTGGTAAAGTTAGATTAGACAAATCACTTGATAGGTTGAGCGTCAAGACAAGTAAACCAGAGGTTCTGTTTGGAATCCTTGTTGAGGCATTAAAATAGATAATGACCTCTGTTGAACTGACTCCTACAAAGATACTGAGGGTTACTTTTATCAGCAGCTAAATATTTTGAAACATGAGGACAAGTTATTTCCGAGACGGGGAGTATGCATCCCCGGTAAAATACTAGCCACAATGTACCGCTCACCAAGAGAGAAATTATCTTTTAGTAAAAAAGTTCCAGGTTCAAATCTTAACAAATGCATTGAAATAGATAGTATTACAAAGGTTTTTTTGTATGTGAATAAAAGTAAGATATGTCTTATAACATTGATTTGAAAATTAATATTTTTCTATAACTTTAAACTTGTCTTCTCTAGTGAAAAGTTTTTAGTTATAAGGCTTATAAACCAGTTGAATGTGTAGTTCTAACCCTACCATGAAAGATGAAAAATGGTTGAAAGAAAATGTTAGATGAAAAAACCAATATTCTTGTCATATGAATTTGCATTAGTGTTATATGATGGATGTTGATCTAGAGTGCAGTAATAATCACAACTCTATATTGTCTACATGGGAAGTACAGGATTCACAATGTACATGTAACATTTAGTATTTATTGTAGTTTCATAACTACTTACAGGGTTTGACCATCAGGAAGTCCTTATCAGTATTGTCTGAATGTAACAGTGGTTGATCTGGAAGTTTGAGTAAATAACATATGGTTTATGTTGGACAGGTGTTCACTCCAGAGTGTATGATAATGTACCTACGGGTATTCAACTTCCTGTGGAGGTCCAAGAGGATGGAATACATTCTGGCCAATATATGGAGAAACCAGATGGCTAGTGCAAAGATGTTACAATGTATTCCAGGTGTGTACAAACCTTAAAGAGCACTGCTTTTCTAACTTTTCACAATTTTCCATTCAGCTGTTGGAAGGTATAATTTGCAGAAATGTACATTTAAACTTATTATTTACAAATATGTAATATATATGTAGCCGCTTCCCTAAATGAATTGACTTCAACATGGAAGTTTCTCGTTCTTTTAACAGTGCATAAAAATTGTTTTTGTCAGATGCGTTATCAACATTTCTAAATCTATTTAAACTTTTGATAGGAGGTATTTTGTAACGTGTTTATTTATTAATGCATGCCTTAAATCTTCATAAAAAATTCATTAGAAAACCATGTTCATCCTTATTTTAAAATTGAAATTTCATAAACTTGTTTTAATTCCAACTTGTCAGGTTTCCACGGATACAATCCAAGTGAATTCCTAGCATGTTTTTTGATGATCTGTCTAAATTTTATCCTGTAAAGATTAACATATATATCTATACTTCATTTATTTCACAATTAAGAAAGGATATTTCAATTAACACTAATCACTCTTGTTGGCCCGGATGAAAGATTTTAATCCAGCCCTTGTTTATATTGATGGGCTGTCTATACCAACACAGTGATTTGAGTTAATAATGTTACAGAGTTGTCCAGTATCCTATATCAGTGCCATATGTTGACCAGTGAGACATCACACTGATGGTTGTTATATATTATTACAGAGTTGTCCAGTATCCTATATCAGTGCCATATGTTGACCAGTGAGACATCACACTGATGGTTGTTATATATTATTACAGTGTTGTCCAGTATCCTACATCAGTGCCATATGTTGACCAGTGAGACATCACACTGATGGTTGTTATATATTATTACAGAGTTGTCCAGTATCCTACATCAGTGCCATATGCTGACCAGTGAGATGGTCCATTTCGTACAACAAGTCCAGTATTACATCAACTTTGAGGTGCTGGAGTGCTCGTGGGATGAATTGCTCACCAAGGTCAGCGAGGCAGAGGACCTTGACTACATCATCGCTGCTCACCAAGTCTTTCTGGATACCATCATATCCAGGTGTCTCCTTGATGAACAGTCAAAGGTAAGCAACAGGTAACAACACCTTCCAGGTGTGTCTTACCATCATCTTCAGGTGTCTCCTTGATGAACAGTCAAAGGTAAGCAACAGGTAACACCACCTACCTGGTGTGTCTTACCATCATCTTCAGGTGTCTCCTTGATGAACAAACATAACCAACAGGTAACGACCCCCACCAGGTGTGTCTTACCATCATATCCAGGTGTCTCCTTGATGAACAAACATAACCAACAGGTAACGACCCCCACCAGGTGTGTCTTACCATCATATCCAGGTGTCTCCTTGATGAACAGTCAAAGCTAAATTGACACCAACCCCAATGCAAACTAGATGTGTCTATGGGTAACACTGAGAACAACATTATAGCTGTTCTCAAACACAGGGACAATGTTCTTGTCACCCAAACAATGAGAACAAAGCATAGTACAAGTTCCATTAACAAAACTCTTGCACAAGGACAGGGAGAACAGAGATGGCAGTAATCAGAATAAAGCTGAACTTTTTCTCATTTTGCATGTATGAAATTTTGATTGGCAAGTAAAACAAAATTGAAAAGAAGGGAGAAGATAACTTGTATGATGCTGAATGTCAGTATTCATCCAGGATCTCATATTTGTTTTTCAGTTAATTACGGTGTTTACAGGGAAGTCAAATTTGCTGATGTAGACAATTTCTCTTCTTGATCAGAATGTCTTTTCCAAGTAACCAGTATCTAGCATGTATAGATGTTATTGAGGAAGTGAAAAAAATATGTTACCAGCTAAAAACATTTTCAAATAGAAAAATAAAATTTGGTCTAGATTCATTCAGTTATTTCTTGTCAATAATGGCAATCTCAATTGAGTACATGAGAGCTGTTATTGGCGTTTACCTAGTGATATTTTTTAGGAAACCATGTTGGTATTCTTGTCATGTTTTTGGTGATGGGGTGGAATTTCAATCAGATGTGACTCATGTTGTCCTGTAATTTGATTTCTTTATCATTAAATGTAGTTATGCCTTTGTACATTAGTTTAACCTGATCTTTCTGCTTTTAACAGAACATCCTGACTCAGCTGAGGACTATCTTCGATTTGATCATTGACTTCCAGACAGCTCTAGGAGGATTCTTCACTGAGGCATCAGAGGAACAAATGGCTCGTCAACATTTTGATAAAATGCAAGCGAAACGCTCAAAAGAGGTAACATTGAAACTTCTCTGTTATCCCATTACTGTAATGACATGATTCCTTGGAATGGCTGTTATCCCATTACTGTAATGACATGTTTCCTTGGAATGGCTGTTATCCCATTACGGTTATGACATGATTCCTTGGAATGGCTGTTATCCCATTACTGTAATGACATGATTCCTTGGAATGGCTATTTTATAAAATACACATAGTTCCCCTAAATGTTTTTCCTTAATTTATCAGTGGCATATTACATTTGTCATGTGATTGTTAAGCAGTTAAATGTCAAGTAGAAATACTATGTAAAGTCTATATAAGTAAACTATTCTAATGTGTTGAAAGGGTTATTTCATTCTTTTAACAAAAAAAAACAACCTAAAAAAAAAAAAAAAAAAATACTCCTATATTCTCATCCAAACTAATGAGAAAGGATTGGTAAGATTTGCCAGAAGACTGGTAGTTGTTCAGTAAGGTGATTCTTCGTGTGTTAGAGAAGGGTGTGGTACTCTGAGTAACAGGAAATACAGAGCCATTACAAACAAAGAACTTATACTGGCACTAATTCATGCCAGTGGACGTACTCAAGGTTACCAGAGTATAGCTATCTCTACATTTATCCTTCCGTGAAAAAGAGTGAGACTTCATATGAGCCAGGGGATTTAATCATGCTGTTATAGTGATTTTCTTATCATTGTGTGTTTAATTTAATGAATTTATTGTCCATAGAGTTATTAATTACAAGTATGCCATACAAAAAAAAAAACCCCACTGCTGTCATTGTAAATTAATTCTTGGCATTAAACATTGTGTGCCTTATCATGTTTTGTGTTTGTCTTTAGGTTATAGGAGTTCTTTATAAACGATATGAATTTACTTTTGTTTATTTCCATAATTGATTTGTTTCAGGGAGACTGGGGTCTGACAGAAGAAGAGGAGACAGAGGAGCAACATCGCAGGATGGCATTCCTGAAGAAAATCATCCCCAACACAAGAGCTCAGTTCAAAGTTTTATCTCAGAGCTACCAGGTAACCCTTCGTACCCAAGACAGGAAAATCCTATTGATGGTCTTTCATTTTGCAACTTGCTAGAATCCAGAGACATGCCTCCCTCATTTCAGATTTTTCTGTACCTCAAAACTGTAAAACTACTTTTTTTTTCATGAATACTTACTTTCTTGATTTAGAAATCTAAAGTTTGCGGCAGTTAATTTTTATGAAAAAGCTGACTATGCTATGATTGTTGTTGGCGATGATTAACTTTCACAAACATGTTTCTTTCACAAATTCCACAAAAAAAAAAAAAAAAAAGAATTGCACTCCTTCCACATTTATCAAAGAAACACAAATCTTAGTATGGTTATTTCGCCTCACAGTATTAATACCCCCTCTTTTGTAGGATATGGTACAACAGTTCCTTGTGATGCTGACAACCCATCAGGATGTAAGTCTTCGCTTTCTCAGCTTCAGACTTGACTTCAATGAACACTACAAGACGAGAGCACCACAACTACAGAGTCCTTTAATGTACAGAGGGACCAGGGCGGTCACATGATTTCTTCAATTATCTCCTCATATACACAGATGAGGTGAAGTTACACGGTCCCTATAGCAAATGGATTAACATAATTAACAAAGGCTTACCCATGATCACATGATTGATGCAACCAATGATTGTGTACCATTCTGAAGATCAAATTCTTGTACCAAGATCTCTCCTTGTTACTGTATCTCAGACTTGCCTATTTTAACTGTTAGAAGCTATGGAGTGTTTTCCATGCAGAGCACTTCTTAAGGCTTCAGATTTCTGAAGAAGAAGAATTTGAGGATCTGATATTAAGATCTGTGTTTGTGAGTTATATTTTTATACTGAGACTTGTAAAAGCTTGTGAATGTTATATATGTGAACACTTGCCTGTAACGTCTGTAAGATAGCTCACCAGGTAAAATTGTGAATTTAAATTCAAATCCAGCAATACTGTAGAATACCTTACATCAGTCGGAGGTGTCATTAGTAGAAGTCCTTGTCTGCTGATATCACTAGTAGATTATGTTTGATATCATTGTTCCATACATCAAAATTTAAATCCATGAATATTTTAAATCTTATTACCGCAAGAAGTTTCCAAGGGGTTTCGGAAGCTATGATATTATATAAGACTTTTTTGTTACATATTTGACAAATATTCAAACTTATGACTGCCAGTTCTGTTATGGTGAAATCACCTGTCGCAGTTGAAGAAAAGCAATGCTAAATTAAAAGAACAAAAGTTATAAGCTTAAGCTATTGACTTAAACTCATGGTTGATGTAAATTTTCATAGAAGTCTGATTCCGTGTTACATTTTTGCTGATTCATATTAAAAGCCACGTTGTAAGGGAAGGTCTGTAGTGAAACGTTGACATCAAATCCAGTCTGTGTACATTACTTTGTAAAGTGTTAACCTTTGTATAATTTACACTTCTCACTGTATTACCCAATATTTGTTTTGAGAAATTTATATTATGAAGGACAAGGCTGCTTATAATTTATTTTAGTACATAACCAATTTAGTGCTAAATTCATTTTTATCATCATTGTTAATCTCAGTTATATGTTGAATTTTCAATTTTTTCATAAGATATGTTTCAATCCTTGAGCTTCTGGATCAAACTGTTCCAATAAAATCTCTTTCTTCACAGTATGCCCACTTACCCATCTTAGTGTGTTTTAATTTGAAAGCCCTTTCCATGTCATTGCAAGCTATTTTGATTGACCAATCTGCTTTGTTGCACTGCTTCAGCAGAGTTACTTTCCCTTTAATATTTATTATGCTAACTTTATTCTTTATGGTAAACAGATTTTCAGCGAGATGTTATGATATATGGATAGGTTTTAGCCCATCATCATCAGATGGTAGGTTACACCAGGGACCAGTGTCACGTAGAAATTGATCTTTTTCTTTTAAAATATTGCTGAAACCTATTGAGAAGTGCTTGTGTACATTATGTTACAGAGATTAAATCTATTGACATAACAGATTGTTATTAATTCTCTTTATGAGTTTTACTTGAAAGATTTGACTAATAATAAATCTGATTGTTGGTTCTATTAAACGATGGTGTACTGCAAATCTGTAACAAAGACTGTTGGTCTGACATATATCTTGTAAGTATAAAGAATCTTGAATCTCGTTCTTATTTCTCCATCACAGGATATTGCAGTGTTCTATTATATTAATATGGACCAGGCAATTCATCTGATAAACTATGAAAAAGGTGGAATGAAAACTTTCAAACTCCTGTGTTCTTCAAATCCTGTCTATATTAGAAAGTGAGAAGAGTGGAACTTTTTATGATATATATTATATGCATACATATATTTTCCACGGAGAGGTTAGTGCTATTGTTAAATGTCAATAAAACAATACTGTGATAACATATGTTAACATTGTATGATTTCTTATTTCTTTATCCCTCTGGTGCAGGTAACAGGATTTCGTCATCAGAAATTGATAATCATACAAAGTTTTGTAGATTTACACCAGGGTTAGATTGTGAAAAGTCTGTAAAGTCACATTTTTTTAATCATTTCTCACAAACAGTGGTTGGGCTGTGTTCTACATTTACACATATGTTTACAATATTACCTGGAAAATTGCTGTTGCCTTATTGAACAGTGCAAAATATTCTTTAAGTGTGGACTTTGTTGCTCCAGATTCTTTCAGTGCCAGCCAAGCAATTCTTCCATATGTGTGAATTTAAATATACATATTCAGTTAATATAAACACTGTGAAGTAATCACCTTATAATCAACTGTGCAAAGAGATGATTCAATTGGTAAGGTCATTTAGCAGTAGTGGGGTTACTAGTTGTTTGTACAACTCTCCATACAGATAATGAAAAGGCTTCACATCTCATTCTTTATATACTGGAAATTCTAATTTAAAAATACATCTGTAATAACAACAATAATGTATCAGTTATTGAAGTTTTCTGCTTCATGTCAATTTATTTATGTTAAGATTAAATATCTCGGATTTCAGAACTAAATTAAGCACACTGGCCTAGACTTAACATTCATACACAAATGAACTCGGACACAATGTTCATCCTATTGGCAATGAAATTAACACTTTTCTACTTCTACATTAATCTGTTTCCTATTGTAAGACTGATTGACCTATGATAGAAGACACGCCCACTAAGACTAAAGATGTGCTTCTCTTCATACAAAAGTTACATAGCCTTACTCTCTTTGCCTCCCTTATGTATGATGTAATGCAATATGGCTGAAATTTTCATTTTTTTTAACTGTGTTTAACTTTTTTAAATTGAAGTTTACCTAGGTAGCTGAAGAGAAATGAATGCATTCTGTAAGAGTTAGCAGAGAACACCTAAACAAGTGAGGTAATTCTAAGCCTTCAAACTACTTTTCATGGGTGAATATAGCTAGTGAGCTCAAGCAAAGGACTCTTATAACAATTTTACCTGAAATACACTGTAGTTATAAATAAGGGTTTAAACTTTGATCAATATTTGAATTTTGATACCTGATCTGTTCGAACAGAATTAGGAGGTATTATATTAGAGAGAGGTAGACTAGCAAAATGTTGTCTTAAATGATCTAGACCTCGTTTTGTTACACCGTGAACTCGTCTCTCATTGGCTAGATCTGCTGTCAACTCAGCCACACGCTTCTGTAGCTCCATTATTTCTATCTGACATTGTATTTTAACACTTTCCTCGGCAGCTAATTTCTCACTTTCAGCTGCATTTTGGACGGACTCTAAATTCAATTCTAGACGTCCTTTGTCCATTCTGTCTTTGTCTCTTTGTACACGAAGTTCATGCACTTCTTTCACCATTGCAGACTTTTCTGCACTGATCTCCGAGAAGATTTCCTCCATTGCTGTGAGCCGTGCATTAGCATGGTCAAGTTCATCTTGCAATTTTTCACAGTGGATTTTCATACGACTGTTTGCTTTGTTAATGTCTGTTATTTTAACAGCTTTGGTTTCCACCTCCCCAGAAAGCTTTCCCATACGAGTCTCTAGATATAGGTTCCTCTTCTCTAGTTCTTTATTTCTGCCCGTAAGTCGAACATTCTCTTCTTTGACAGATTTGAATGCCTCTCGGAGAATACTGATTTCCTCGGAGTCCCATATACATGAATTGTCCAGTTCTACTTCTACCGTTTTCTTCTGAGGTTTCTCTTTGGATGTTTCTCCATCTGAAGAGACTATGTTGTAAATCAATCATTTATAATATCCGTCTTAAGATCAATCTGACACAAGCAATTAGAGTATGTCAATTAGAGAAAACTGTTTCTCAATAACACATGAATGTGACATTGTACAATTATAATCTAAGTGGTTTTCCTACAGATATTACTGGCTGAATTCTGCCACTCTTAAAAAATGTCTTGCAACAGATGAAGTTAACTATCCACAGACCTGCAGGAGGTCAAGTGGGAAACATTTACAATCTAATGTCATGGCCTGTACATGTATACCACTCCACCTTGGTCCACCAGTCATCACCATTACCTATTTATAAGTAAAGCTGAAAGTCAAGCAGCAAGATTTGTGATTCATTCAGGGGAGATAAGTCTTAGTATTCCTGGCATGAGGAAACCACTCAGCCAAGTATTGTAAAAAGTAGAGTGATAAAAAAGGTACATAATAGCCTTGGAAATAAAAATTCATAGAAATAATAAGAACATTGCAGGAGGAGGTAGGAGGGGGAGCTGAAAATGTTGATAAAAGAAAGGGCAATACCTTTTCCATAAGTAGTAAATGACAATGCTATTGAGGAAAACGCATTTTCATGTGGCTATAAAGCCTACAAAGTTTCAGAGAATTTGGTGAAAAACAGAGGAAGGCGATAACTATACAACATTAGAATGCTAAAAAAAAGGGAGAGATGGAGAGGAGGGGATGGGGGAATAAATCCTTTGAAAATTTTTTGATCAAACTGTTGTGGATTAAAAAGACAATTTCATATCATGGTGATTAAGCATACCAATTTCGAAAAATATTGGTTGAGATTCTCAAACAAGATTAACATTATGAAAACAAGGGGCACTTAATCTTCAAAAAAAAACAATTGAATCTAATTGCTGTTCAGGTCAACACAACTTCATGCCGTGGTGATTAATTCTATTAAATTTGGAAGAAATTAGTGTAAAACTGAGACAAATGATCTCTGGGCAAAATTAACGAAACGAAAACAACAAGGGGTAGTAACTCTCCCAAATACAGTTGAATGAACCTGCTGTTCAGGGAAGCACAACTTCATGCCATGGTGATTTAGCCTACTAAGTTTGAAAAAAAATTAAGCTGAAAACTGGAGGAGATCTGCAGACAAATGAGGGTTACTAATGGAGAGACAAGACGGTTCACCCTTTACCATAATACATCCTGTCAAATTGTTTTGATAAGTATATAAAAAGTGTGCATGCTATATGATCTAATTGCAATTTAATCACGGCATAGAAAAGTGGAAGCAGTACTGGTGAAAGAATGGAGTTATTTTCTCTCAATGATTTTGTAAAAGACAGCATAGAACAGGAATATTCAGATGGCAGACCCTCTTTGCATGGATGTCTCATCTCTGCTTTTTTTGACAGATGGGTGTCTTATCAAGCAAAACATACAGACAACTACATCTATCCACCACATGCAATGTCTAATGTAAAGTGAAGTTTGGGTATAAGTATGGTTTCGTGAATACAAGCCTAGGGGCTTGGATCAAAGGAAATGCAAAATCTGAATTACCTGTTGTTGCTTGTTTTTCTGTCTTTAATCGCTGCTGCGACTTCATCTCCTCGTCCATGACAGACATGAGGTGCACTCTCTCATACACCTGACGAATCGCCTCAGGATTAAATGCAGACACATGCTTAATACGAGCCTTGATCACAGTTTCCTCCTCGGGCGTCTTTTCGCCAAGCAAGTCCTTCACAGTCACATCTACAGCAGGGGGGAATAACTCTCCCACCCAATCAGTCCACTCCTTCTGGTTGGTTGCCATTACTTCTAAAAGAAATACAAATAAATATTTCACTTTAACTATATGGCACCAGGATATAGAAGTTCATGAAAATTGTGCTATTAATAAAACTTAAAAACTAAATTATATTCCTCAAAGTTAAGGACAAAAACTTTATTGGAGCTTTGGGACATTTCAGAACAATCTGACAGCTTCAACTTCATATTACTGTTTTTAACCATTTATAAGGTTGTGTCTTCATTTATTGACTTCATGCTTGAAATATTTAAGTTTTCCCTAGAAATAACACATCTTGAAATTTTTAACTTTCTTATTACTGGCCAGTATGAGTTGTGAAATCTTAGGCTAGTTGTATTTTGAGAGGATGTTCATCATTAACACGAAGTGCAATTCAAAACTATATATATGTATGAGTTTTTGAAAATGTATGTTTCCTTTATCAAGCAAAGAGTCCAGATGACTGGACCTTGAAGACTGATTGTTATTTAGTAAAGGGACAAATGTGTCAAGTCAGCTGTTCAATTGTAACAATGCATTTTCAATCCAATAGCACTCTTATCCTACAAGAAGTCTGAGGGATATTTCATCCATTCTGCCTCCTATTGGTTAACAAGAAGTCATGTTTATGGCCTCATTTAAACATCCATCTCTGCTTGATAAAGGAAGATGTTCAGTAGTCAAATCTCATTTGTGCTAAATATAATATACCTATTCTAAACATATATTCATATATTGGTTTTATATTATTCGACATCCTTTTGATCATATGGTAGTTTTAAGGACAGGTGACAACTTAACGTACCAACACAATAAAAAAAATTCTTCAACGATGGTAAGTTTTACTCTAAAAAACAAGTTAAGAAGACTAGATACACAATATGTATTGCCACAAAACTGGTCTAATTAAACACTTCAGATAATTATTTAAATGCACCAGAGGGCTGTTTGTTCAATATAAATAAATTTAATATAATTACTTCATGAGTAATTTCGCTTTGCCTAATCGTTGAGATATATATATATCAGTTTTTGTGGCGTTAAGTGTTTTATTATGTCTATAATTGTGTTTGTTGTTCTAACTGTACATCACATCAGAATGGATTATCTATAATGTCATTCACAATTACTTGGCAGAAATGTGTGATTAGTCATTTATAAACAGTGTATATCGGTGTGTAAAAATTTCCAACTATGTCTCCTTATTTGTTACCATGGCCCTGCACTACATGCAGGTATGATATATATTGTTATATTTTGTAATAACCAAGCATATAGCCTCATACCAGATTATATGTATAATTATAAGAGATAAACGAAATGTACAGTGACATATTTCAGTTAATAAGATCGCTTTTTTAACTTGTACGAGTTACCTCCCCTTGTTGTTTTTTTTTTTTTTATAGTATGTAAGAGGCAAGAGTGTAATGTGTTCTATTTGTATTTGTTACAGGGTGTCGGGTGTCTCCTTATGATCGTAATAAATATGTACCTCCCCTTGTTGTTTTTTTTTTTTTTATAGTATGTAAGAGGCAAGAGTGTAATGTGTTCTATTTGTATTTGTTACAGGGTGTCGTCCTTATGATCGTAATAAATATACAGAACGAACTCCAGTGTTGTGACGTTTCTTGCAACCCCCGATTACATAAATTTAAGGAGTAATGAAAGAAATTTCAGTTTTTGTTGTAAGTGCTATAACTAACTGTACATCACATCAGAATGGAGCATTCACAATTACTGAGAAATATTAGTCATTTATAAACAGGCAAAAATTTCCAATTGTCTCCTTAACCATTGTTTTGACTAATCTCTTTCTTGTTTTAATTCTCTTAACCAATGGAGTGGACACATTAAAATTCTGGTATATCCTTTCAAATCCAAGGAATGAAAATGGATGCTTGAATTCCAAGCAAACATGTTGGGAGCATTCTTTGGTTTTAGGAAATGCACTGGAACTCCAAAACATCCTCTCTTTACAGAGGATATTTTCCTCTGAACTCGAACAAATGTCATGAAAACATTTAAAATTATGTGTTTATTAAAACTTTAAAATGCTTATGTTATTAGTTACATCTGTGAATAAAAAAACTCTTTCTGGTATAATGTTGTTTTTATTCCAGTTATATCAAACAATGTAATCCAATGGACAGCCACAAAACAACAGGTTTCATTGTTTTCAATGACATGACTGAATGGTGGTATAGTTTGTCGATTCATATATTTATATAAAAAACTGAATGATCCTGCATTTGAATAAGTGATTACTTAAATCTGTAACTCTCCATAAAATGCAGGACTATTACACAGGTGTTTATTATAGAGATGTGTCCCAACTGTACACTGCGCGTCCTACATGTATCTTATTTACTCTTGATATATAAGAATTGATGACACTACAAACACAGAACAAGAACCTAGACTTATCAAAACAACTTATCTCTACCTCTGTTTTTAAATGAATTTGCGAAATATCATAACAAAATTTATCCAAAGCAATTTTTAGGCGTTCATAGCAACTCGGCGAAAATTATTTTTCTTTGCATTTTACATCATTCTTACCTTCTTTACCAGTTCACAGGAGTATATTCATCACCAATGAATCACATGATATGCTTTTTAATTCGATGTTATGTATGCTAATTGCTAAATAGAATGTCAACACGTCCTGCAAAAACTTGTCTGTAACATTTCATGGGCGCCGCCATACTTTGTCACGTGACATGGACCTTTAAATTTTGATTGGTTGTTAGAGAATCAGCAGTGCATTTCCTTTCCGGGAACATTCGTGTGTCAGTTGAGCACCATGGCTGAACGGGGTAAGTACCCATCTTCTGTTGGCTTTGCTCCATGTATGCAACTTGCAAAATGTATGGCAACGTGACAGTGAATTAAGGAGTTTGTTTAAATGACAGTATGTAACCTTGGGAGTACGCACTTTCGTCATTGAGGACGAAATATGTAAAACATGCTTCAGCGAATGGGAACGTACTCGGCGTTTTTCACATGCACCTCGATAAAAAGGGTTTAGTCGGCGGTCAGATTCTCGTTGACCCATTGAACTCACATGAATGCATGGACATTTCTTTAATCTTGTTCTGAGAGGGTATAGAAACAGGCGAAAGATATTAATTACAAATATATCTTTTATTTTGAACCGCATCACGTTAAACCAGATTACAGAGTACGTGTAGAGCGTTATGTGGTAACGTGTTAGGTTAATGTATTCTATTTTCACTTTGGCTGATGGACTGACCTTGTGAAGTGTGTCCTTGTCCTACATTGTCAATTTAGCATGCGTGCTTACATGATATATCGATAATACTGACAAATACTATAATTTGTGCTTTGTCCCTACCGTTATATCTCCCAAAATGTGAAAATTGTGTGTATTTATATACTAACTGAGGTTATTTCAAATATACAGTGAAGTCTTAGGCGTTATTTTTAATTTTATGATAAATTAATTAATTATATTTATAACTTTTTTCAATGATTTTTTTTTACTTTATTAAGGGATGGATTTTGACAATATTTAGCCATTTTCTACAATAATATCCATAGTTTTTTCTCATAATAAAACTAAAACTGCCTACCTTGGCCTATAGAAGCTTGCGAGGTGACATGATCGAGATATATAAAATGATCAGCGGAGTGTACGACAAAGAGTGCTGTACATGCATAAAGTTATGGGAGAACATGTCCGATAAACACAGTGTTAGAGTAAACTCAAAAAAACTTTTTCCACAAAGAGCTAAATCTAAACTAAGAAGTAATTACTTTTCTGTGAGAGCAACACGCATTTGGAACACATTACCAGAAACTGTTGTATCTGCCTCAAACACGAACTGTTTCAAAAATAGGCTTGATAAGTTATGGGAAAACCAAGATATCATTTTTAATTATAGAGCTGATATATCAATATAGAATGTCTTAATAGTAATTCAACGGAACTAAAAGCTGGACATATTATTTTGATTTGTACATAGGCCTACTATATTTATTATATGAAATATCATGTATATATATTGTATGTTTTTTGAGACCAGAGTAGAGGATAGGTATATCCTGTTCTGGTAATAAACTTAACTTAACTTAACTTAACTATAATACTCATTTAATATTCTGTTGTTTATTTCAAGAGTAATATGAAATTATCAACTCAGCTAATTTCCATGTGACACCATTTTCCTATTTATGCTTACTAAAATAACGTCAAAATGGCATCCTGAAAAGAGCATGTTGCAAATGAATGATTTTTTTCCTGGTAATACACAACAGAAAACAATGGAAATAGTATGAGATGAAGCAGGAAACAATTCTCCATAGATATATAAAATTTCACTAAAAATGTTCTTGAATAAAGTCAGGAAAATTCATTGAAAAAAGGTTAGAAAAATAAAGAATATATAGTAAAATAACAAAACATGAAAGACTTATGGCACATCACTGTACATATGCAAAATAACTTGTCCTCTGACATCAGACTGGTATACATACACATACAAATCAATATCATAGTATTTTATATCTCAGCTGTCAAACCAGGGAAAACATGAATTGTAAAAAGGCAGTCTGCGGTTCAAATGATCTTAAAATAGAAAGCAGGCGGCCATCTTGGAAGTTGACAATGAAAGTTATCAATATTTCTTGGAAGTACGGGATGGTTTTTTCTCAGATTTTATCTGTAAGTTCCCTTAGGTTCCTAGTTGTGCCATCTTGATTTTGGGACTGATTAGAAAAATAGATTTGGCTGTAAAGCAACCATCTCTGATTTGGCAGTTAAAGATTTTTATTGCTTTTTCTAAGGACTAAATAGTTAGATGTTCATTTCATAACTGATAAAAAGCATTTTAAAAGTTAAATATCTGTGGAAAATTGTGTACTTTCTGTTAATCATGCATAACCATTTTATTAACAAGGTCAAAAAATTACCATTAAATTACTTATTCATATCATTATCATTCAAAGAATGTGAACAATGTCTTTGCGCATGAATCTTATATTCAGATTAATTCAAATTCATTTGTTTCAAGTGGATAGCGTGAAACAAGAGGTCATTTTACAAAGTAAGAATTGAAACACGGCTGGCAAATTAAGTTTTGACTAATTACATAATTATACATGGTAAGAAGTCATCAAAACAGTGGTCGGTCAAAATGACGATCTGAAAGGTCACATGGTTAACTTGGCTATCTCTGATTAAAACAGCGATGAGTGGTAGCTGCAACAGCGAGTGTCAACTAGCGTTAGTTTGAAACTATCAATTTCTCTCAGAGAGTGTTATAATTTTGTGAATAGTCTAATTTTAAGTATTACATTGCTTGCCTGAGATTAAACACACGGGGGGAAAAAGTAATGAAATCTAACCATTTAGTCCCTTTAAGAAGACTTTTTAAATTTGATATGATTAAGGGAAAAAAACAAAGCAAAAATGAGAAAAGATATAACTTGTAAAGAACAAATAAATATCACATGACAGGTGCTTACTTTGGGGTCTCTTTGTTTTGTTATGTACACTGAACATATACAGTTATTTTAACAAAAATGTATCGACCTGTACCTGAAAATTTTATGGATTTATAATTCAGCAAATCAAAGGAGTTTAAGGCTCAAAACGGACATTGAACAGGTAGTTTGATTTGAATTTTGTGTCTAGAGTACAACATTAAATTGCATGCATGTAAAATTTAATGAAACTTGGTGGGTACACTGCCCACACTTAACGAAGGATTGTGAAACATAGTGTACATGATCATACTAAGTGACATGCTGTGTACCAAATTAAGGACCTTTGACCTCTTAATTACAGAGTTATTGCCCTTTCTAAAAGTATCTTTTACTGAGCATAGTTTGGCTTGCATTTCTAGTAGGATAATGAAACTTTTCATATATACATTAATCATATGAAGAAAATGTGCAGTGTACCAAAGTTAGGGTCTGCAACCCTTTAACTACAGAGTTATTGTCCTTGTTAAAATTTTGTGCGTGGAACATTTTTTTGCCTGCATTTAAACTAGGATATTGAAATGTGATGTTTACATCAGTCATGTAATCGTACAGGGCCCATGAGCCATCAGTAAAGAGTTATTGCCCTTTGTTAAAAGTTTGTGTCATGAGCAAAGCTTCGCTTACATATTAGCTAATGTCATAAAGCTTGATGTATATATTTAGCATGTTAAGAGAATGTGTAGTGTACCAAATTATGGCCCTTTTGATAAAACCTTGTGTCCATTAGAATTGTTTTAAGTAACGTTCATGAGTTTCTCTGATTCTCTTGTTTACAATTTGCAGCGGTGGAAAGCATGTTTCAGTGGTATTCCATCAGGAGAAAGTATATGAACAGATTCATAGTTTCTAATGAACATTTATTTTAAAAAGATAAAAAATATTTTTTTATGTCAGAAATGAACAATCCAAGCTGTTATTCAGTAAATGCATGAGACTGATTATAGGATGTATTAGATAATAGATTGTGTGTATTGGTGTACTGATTTATCTATTATAAAACTGGGACCAATTCTTATCACTACATATGTAGGAAGAGTTGTAACCCTTCTTAGGCTCAAAATTACGTGACCTCTCACTGGGGAACACATACCTCTAAAGGGACATTCTCGTTAGCTGTAATTAGTAATCAAACTGATTACCTGTATTTTCACTTCCTACTACTCCTTCATTCACCTCACCTCAAAGACAGCAACATTTATCAAAATTCTTGATTTCCGATGAAGCCTCTTAGTTTTCTTTGTCTTGAAACTATGGAGTGACTAAACAATTCCTTTCCTTGCTTCCAGGGATGATTTTAAAATATGCCTTTGCACAGGATCCAAAACAATATATATTTAAGTAATGCCAAGGGGAAAAACAATAGTGAGAAATCTGCTCACCATATTTTCCTCATTATAACCAGCGGTTATTTTCCTTGGCTGCGGTTTGTGAGGCTTATAAACAGGTGCAGTTTATATTGGCAGAAAGAAAATAAGTGTACTGTCTAGACATCGATTCCGGACCGTTACATATTTGTCAAGGTGTATCACATGCACTATTGACCTGCGTGACCCTGCACCATGATAATTTTGGTGTAACACGTGTCACGCTTCCAGAAAGAATAAGAAATAGTGATTTAAACCAAGAATACCAGTACACCAGTATGAGACGTCATTAACAAGTATTTTATGGTTACCTGTCAATTATATGTTTATGACTGAAACAGATAGTCTAGAGCTGTTATTTAGAACCGTATACAGGATGATTTTAAAATTGAAATAAAAACAGTATTCTCATGGATTTAATTAACCATACTTTTTAAATATGAATCACAATATCTTCTGAACTTCAGAAGTTTACAATAGCCTGTTGCATCCTGGGATTGATAGGTCAACGGGTCTAATTCTAGAAAGACTGCCTTGCTTGTTTGCCATAAGAATGGCTTTGTGTAACTTACAAGAAGTAATTTGGAACTAACATAATTCAGCATACAAGGGCCTTTTCTAATATTTAATGATATAAACTCCGATGGAGATATTGTTAAGTAAAACCGTACGTAACACCAGGCCCTATATCTGTAAATAGATAATCTTTGAAGACTCTTATATCAGTTACCACATCATAAGAAAGGGTGCAGCTTATATTTCGGTACAACTTATATGTGGATCAAATAGAAAAAAAATAGTTGAAAATTGGCACTGTGGTGCCATTTATAACCTCAAAAATTTGGTATGTCTGTGTGTGTCTTTCATGTTGAATCTGTGACCTTCATGTTATATCAGTCTATTTGTGCCCTTCATGTTATATCTATGTCTGTCTGTGCCCTTTATGTTATATCTATGTCTGTCTTTGTCCTTCATGTTATATCAGTCTATGTGTGTCTTTCATGGTATATCTATGTCTGTCTTTGTCCTTCATGGTATATCTATATCTGTCTTTGTCCTTCATGTTATATCTATGTCTGTCTTTGTCCTTCATGTTATATCAGTCTATGTGTGTCTTTCATGTTATATTGGTGACTAGGTGTGTCCTCCATATTACATATGTGACTGTCTATGATCTTCATGTTACATCTGTGTTTATCTATGTCCTTCATGTTATATCAGTCTATTTGTGCCCTTCATGTAATATCTGTGTCTGTGTGTGCCCTACATGTTATACCTGTATCTATGTGTGTCCTTTATGTTACATCTGTGTGTGTCCTACATGTTATACCTGTATCTATGTGTGTCCTATATGATATATCTGTGTGTGTGTTCTATATGTTACATTTGTGTCTATCATTGTCCTTCATGTTATATCCGTATCTGTCTACGTCCTTCATGTAAAATATATGTCTGTCTATGATCTTAATGTTAAATCTTGTCTGTCTGTGACCTTCATGTAATATCTGTGTCTGTCTTGTGTCCTTCAAATTGAAAATGTCTGTCTGTGACCTTCATGTTAAAATCCTTTTTATTGCCTTCATACTTGGAACCAAAATGATAATAATGCTGTTACTGATGAATGTTTTAATATTTTACAGGTGAGAAGGGAGCATTTGTGACCTTAGCGACAAACGACACATATGCTCTAGGGTGTTTGGTACTCGGGAACTCCCTGAGGCGAGTCAAAACAGTACATCAGTTGGTTGTTATGATCACGGATGGTGTCACTGGATCTATGAGGTAGGAGATATTTACTCTAGAAGTAGTCAATTAAAAAGGTAACCATTAATGGTGGACTAATCAAATTGCCCTTTATCTGTCAACCTTTAACAATTGTTGTAAATGCTGATTCTGGAAAAGTGTTTGATTGATAATCTTTAGATTTCACATGTAGGTTTGCCTCATTCTGTAACTATACATATTCCATTTAGCAGTTAATTGGAAAAACGAGATAATCTCGGATTTCGACAATGAAAGATTGTTATTGCTTTTTCTGGAGAAGTGCAAGACAAATCTTTCTCACATTTCATATGTAGGTGCTCCTTGGTTCTTAGTGGTGTCCCTTTGATATTTGGACTCATTGGAAAAACAAGATGGTTGACAGGTGGCCATCTTTGATTTGGACAAATAAGTCTGTTATGGCTATATAATTTCTTTAAGTACTCGATGGATCTCTGTCAAATTTCATAAGAACTCACAAATAGTCCCTAATTTTTTCCTTTTGATTGTTGGATCAATGAGAAAAACAAAATGGCCAGCAGATTACCATTTTGGATTCAACAGTCAAGGATAAATATCTTTATATTGTCAAAGGAATATGCAAATTTCAGATCATTAAGACCAAAAACAAAGGAAAGAAATTTTTAAAGATCAATAAAAATTGAATGATGCTGGGTGCCAAGATCCTTCTGGAATAACTCTTGTTACTTTGAAATACTTCAGTAGGATTTTAATTGGATTTTGGCAAAATTTAGGTTAGATCTGTTGCTTATGAAGGATATTTATTGCTGAATAAACATCTGATACTGCCGGGTTGCATCCATAGATTAATTGAAATTCCAAAGGTCTTGAAGCTTATATCATTATGCAGTTTCAAAGACGGTCTGTTATTCTACTTCCTGTTATAAATTTACGATCTATTTATTGATTTATTCCTAGTTTATAGATATTAGACAATTAATATGAAAATAGAAAGTCAAGCAAGTCTACTTAGAGCTCTACCTTCTCAGCTTTTACTTCCTATTTACTTTGTTTGATATAAGCCATTGTAGGTTTTCTTTGAATTAACAGATTTGAACTTTGATAGAATAACATTGACGGAATTGGGAAAAGGGGTATTGTGAATGGAGATTGGGTGGAGAACAGAGTGTAAACAATGACAGGAAAGATCAGAGCAGCAGTTGTGAATTAGGCATTTTTAGTTGGTCATCTTTTTTTCACAATATTCAAAAAAGATGTCCATACTTATGAAAAGCACACAGGAAAATATCTAAGGTACTAGTTATACCTTTTGAAATCTAGAAGTCTCCAAAATTTGCGACATAGACTTAATTGCTTTTCTTTTAAAAGATCCTTGAAGTTCTTGGTTTTACTTTCATCTACACATGAATAAAATTTCTGAAAGTGTTTGTCGAGGTTGTCATGATTATGTGAGTATTTTCCATGTTGTAATATTTGATTTTCAAGATCACATCTGAAATGTTGCCCAGAAACGTAGTACTGACAGATTTCAGGAGAATATTAAGAACCTTTCAGTTCATTAAAGCTACGAGTGCAAAATTCTTACTCAGACATTCAGAAAAATTTTGATTTCTAAGCAGTTTTGCCGTCAATTCTAACAAGACACATTTTGTCACATTATTGAAGTACACGACCATCAAGCATAAGGACGTTTGAAGGGCTCTGAAGTATATTTAATATGAGGGGTTCAATATATTGATTTCTGTAGATGTAGATCTCTGAGTGCTACACCTACAGATAAATATTTGGGACGATTATTAATGAAAGTGGATGTGCAGTGTCTTCAGATAAATAAGTAATGTGTTGATGAAAGGTGCTAGAGATAAGGAGATGGTGTGCAGACACTGGTGTTAGCTCTACCTCTTTGATTATTGATTGGCATGTCACACTGGAGCTGTGATTACACAGGCAATATTAATTGCATCCTAGTCACTGACAAGTTTTAGCAGCATGTTTTTCTACAAGTCTGTTTTAAAGACAAGTCTCTTAATTGGATAAAAGTTAATTAATTTAATGCTATTGATCATATGAAATGTCTGCTTTCACCAAAAACAATTTTTTGAAGAAAAATCTATCTCTCAACATTTACAACTCAACATGCACCTAGATTTATTTAGTTTCCATTGAAATGATTCAGTGTCTCAACTTTGTCGTTGAGTGATCACCGAGTTACCAGACCTAATCGTTCGTCTGTGTTTTATCTGCCATAGACTTTGTAAAGGCCATAGTCGTTACATCAAATGTTTCATCATTTTACACTACAGACATTTCTAACCCAGGTCTCAGTGATCAATCTTTGAGGGAAAGTCTCTTTAAATTTACCAGAAAATTGATTATCATCAGTAAGAATTATTTGATTATTTACGTGATATACCAGTAGTATAATAACAACTTTGCTGAAATATCGTGATATAAATGGAAAGTTTAAAGCTGATTGTTTATCTAGATAATTTTACCATTTTTAGCTGGCTTCTTAGTCTGGTTCCTTAAGTTTGGTGCAATGAATGACCTTGACCCTTTTTCAAGGTGGATAAGGTTAGATGCAGTAATTAAAGGATTTAAATATTAGTATCTAAATCTCCGCGAGTATTGACCTTGATCATTTTGTAAGGTCAGACGAGCCAAAGACAGTATAAGTATTAATTTCACTCTCCAGGTAATACTTTATTCATTAAGCATGGATAATACTTTTCCAGCTACATTTTGGCAGGAAATAACATGTTTATAAAAGGTAAGGATAAGAAATTTTACCTACTTGGTTTTCCATGGCTCTCAAAATACATCATGTGTGATTTGAGTCCCTTGACTCATTCATTCATAAAAGTTTAGGGTCCCTGGGAAAACCCTGACCTGTGTTTACAAAGTGTTTGGATAATGACCTTTACTCACATTACAGGTCAAAGGGTTCAAATGTGTTGTAAATCTACAGGTCAAAGGGTTCAAATGTGTTGTAAATCAGACTTTCAAAAATAGCATTTTGACTGTAACTTGCTAAAATGGAGGACTATGTATGAGTTTATTGAATACTGATCTCATTATTTCTTCGTTTTCTTTGTCACAGGGGACAAATGTTACTGGGGACAAATGTCTCTGGGGATAAATGTAACAAGGGACAAATATTACAGGGGACAAATATCACAGGGGACAAATATCAAAGGAGACATATATCTCTGGGGACAAATGTCACAGGGGAAAAATGTTACTGGGGACAAATGTCACAGGGGAAAATGTTACTGGGGACAAATATTACAGGGGATATATGTCTCAAGGGGCAAATGTTACAAGGGACAAAATATGGGAACACTTGAGTCTTATGAAGCCTGAAAATATAATAATTAATATGAAGGAAAATGTTATTGAGTGATGACAGATTTTTACCTTGATCCACTGACCAGGTTTCTTGTATTGATTCACTCATATGCAAAAGTAAAAAACAATTGAGATATAGTTGTAAATTTGGCATGATGTACACATCATATAGCATTGATGGTACTTAGAGACAGCCCAGTGACAGCAGATTAGATTCTATATTGTACAGGAAGTAGGTTGTTCAGAATACTATTGATCTGGCTGTGGGTATATTAATTTGTATCAATGAGACAGACTGGTTTCTTCAGTCCGCAACTTCTTTGTACTGGCTGGCTTCAAACTTCAGGTGACATCTGGTTTGCTTTTCTATAGTGAAATGATTCATTCTTTGATTTGGCCGTATAACTACTGCTTTTTAGTAAATTTGATGGACTGATCTCTGATCTCATTCAATCGGTTTTGCTTGTACACAATATTATCCAATTTGATAATTTTTTGTTGTCTTTTGATAACTAGAACTGTAATGAGGTGGTATAGTCCAAACATTAAGATTGAATATATAGCCTCCAAAATGTTATTTTACTGTCCAGTTTTCATTGTTTTTTGAGCTGATTTTATTTTCAAATAAATGGAAACAAATAATCAAATTATTTTCCAAACCGATCCATGCAGCTTTTAACACTGTAAAAGAAACAGTTACCGAGTTGTTATCAAAATTATCAACAAGAACTAGAGAATTGAAAGGATTATTGGTATTGATCTGTTAAAATCATATTGATTATTGGTATTGATCTGTTATCACATTGATTATTGATGTGTTAAGATCATATTGATTTGATATAAAGCTTTGTTTTCAACTCATAAATTATTTTGAATTGATAGTCACATCTTTCAATTTGTTGAAGAGAGACTTGACTAATTAAGCATTATCCTCATGTATCTGAAATCAACACTCAAATTCTGATAAAAGAATATTAGAAGAGAACATGGTTAAAGAGGCATTAACATGACATTGATACAGAATTTATTTGTTTTTGTCTGTGTCTCCCCATTTGTTTGTATCCATAAGAATACAAACTCACTTCACATTGTTTGTCACCAAACCTCATACTACCCTGACACCAATGTCGGAATGACAATATAAACTCCCCTTCACTTTGAGAGGCAGGCTGAAAAAGTTATGTACAAGAATATTATGAACATTTCAAGCGTTGAATCTGTATTCATGCCATAGTGTATGATAACATCAACTTTTCCGCTTGATTCAATTTGGTGGTCCTGTGGGTCATAACTAAAAGGTCACGGTTATTCATGAACTTTTTGAAAACAGAAAATTTATCGGTGTACATCATCAGGAATCCCTCAGCAGATTTAGTTAATATTTATGTTGTCCTGTTTATATACTTTAACATAAAAAATCTACATACATGTAGATATAATTGGTCATCAGTCAAGGATAAAGGGTTAAATGTCAACTTTTACCTTTTTTAAAACAAAAAGTTTGTGCATTTAAACTGTATCTCGTAAAATCAAATCCCTATACCATTTCCTGATTAGGTTACTGGAGGTATATATCTAAGTGAGCTGGCAGCCTTTCCACATAAAATGTTTTGTATTGTTGGCTGAAGGCAGCAAAATTAGTCAATAACAATACCATGTGGTGATTGTGATCACTAGGGAATAACGTACTG